TTTTTTTTACCTTTCCATATATAATCTGCATTTGAAAAAAGATGCTTTCACAGTAAAAAAACATGTGAAGTCTTTTTCTTTCATATTGCGATAGTAGATGGATTAGACAGTCCCTAACTTTCTTTTTCTTTTTGGTGTTCTCATCTCAAATTTTATTGCGATTAAAAAAACAGCTGAGAAAAAACAAAACAACACAAGTCTGCATTTGTTTTGATCACCACGTTTACAGCATACAATTAGGCTTGTTAAATGACAAAAGCTTAAATAGCAATACTTTTTCAAATGTTTAAATACAAGTCTGGTGAAATAAAAGAAAGGGTGTTTGTTTTTAAGAGAAAAATAAAAGCTTAGAGGATTAAGGATTAAAATAAAGTATACTGAGCATGTGAAAGATTTTGTTCTCAGGATTACTGATAAACGTCTTCCCCTTCATTCATTTGTGTACTGAGTGGAACATATAAGGCTCCAAGATTGAGTTTCGAAGTTTCAATGGTTGTGGTACTGTGAAGCTAGAAGACCAGAAACCTGGTAGATGATTGTTTATTTGGAATTTGGCATCTCTATGTAGCGAAATTATATACATCTTTTCCTCAAATCGTCAAGTGTACAGATCTTACTTGTTGTGCTACTTCTGGTCATCCTTCATATTGTGTTCCTTGGTGTTCCTTTCACGTCTCCCATGTTTCTCCAAAACGCTGAATCATCTGTTTTCTCTGACGTAAAATCTGTCCCCCTGTTATTTGATATTTTTATGCCGATGAACATCTCTTTATATACTACTGATGAATCTTGTCAGTAGCACATACCACAGTACTGTTCATTTTACGGGGTCAGGTTGCTAGCCTCATGTCCAACCTTTCCTCTTTACCAGTCTTATTACTGGGTAAGTGAGGTAAAGGAGTGCGTCGGCCCGGGATTGAACCCCGGACCATGTGCATGGTTAGCGAACATGCTAACCGCTGTGCCACCGACGCACTATAAAACACCTTTAAAGCAGATAAACATAACCTCTGATATAATTACAGTATTCCTGCTAGCACGTCATACAAACTGTTATTGACCACCTCTGTTCTGCCTATTCAAATATATTGAAAGGAAAGAGTAGCACGTCTGTTTAGTTATAATTTGTATAATCACTCGTGGTGATGTTGCTCTAATGGTTGATATTGTGATAAACGATGCGAGTAGCCTCCGTTTGAGTATAAGATTCGCATAGCTCACAGTCTTTTAGGAATTATTATCGGTCATATCATATTCTCTTTGAAATAAATGAAAAGTTATTTAGCGACATTATACAGCTTGTGGTATTAATACCTGAGGTCATTAAAATAACTTGTGATTTAGCCTATTTTTTCTAATTTCTTTGGCTAACTAGTCTTTAGTGTAAACAAAATTAATAAACTTTTGTTATTCAATGTTTGAATCTAATACAATGTAGATGCTAAACACTCCCATCCACTCAAGTTTTAGAGATTCAATTCCCAGCTGACACCCTCCTAAACCTCATTTAGCCAGTAACAAGCCTGAAAAAAAGAAGGAGGAGGGAGAAGTTTAGTCATGAGACCAGTAAAAAGCTTGAAACTTTATATTCCACTGGGAAATCCAAAGAGTGGAAACAATACACACTGTGGATGGGAATCAAAGACTAAATTGATAAATGTATTTTGTCAACATTTATAAAATACGAAACATCATTAAAACAACGAAACTATTGAAATGTGAATTATTTTATTAAGCTTAGTAAACTGAAGTTATTTATTACAGCCTAAAAACCTTTATAATTATTGGTTAGGTGAAAAAGAAAGCTTGCTAATTAGGTTCTGTTATCACACATTAGTCCACTTTTGTATTTTCTTCTGTGCTTTGGAGTTGCTGCAGTGAGATTAGATTAATTTTTTTGGGTAGGGTCTCTAGTCGCACGCTCAATCTTACACTGTTTTTCTAGGCTTAGGATAGGCTAGTGAACTGGGCAAGTTTTAATAGCAGAGAAACAGTAAGCTCCGGCAAAAACCCAGTCAGCAAACGACAACCCAGCAAATATTCAGAAGGAAATGTGGATAGACTGGATATGTACTAAGGAGACCTCTGAGTGACATCACCTGCAAGGCCGTCGAAAGGAACCAAAATGGAAAACGATGAGTAGGGTATGGATTCGAAGGTGACATGGAGATCTTGTAAGCAGGAAATGAAAGGTTAAGTGATTGATAATCATGAAGCTAACTAAAAAGGAATATGCAAAAGAGGGTGTAATGGAGATTTACTGGTGAAGTCCTATATTCCACTCGGAACCCAAGAGAATAATAATAGGTCAACACTGTTGGTAACAGAGATTTTTATAACAAGCAATGGTTTGAATAAATGAATTAAAATCGACTATTTTTGAAATCTTTAATTTTAACGACCCGTCGTTTTGAAAGGGTAAAATGTATTATTTTTACTTTATTAGTGAACTTGGCATGAATGAATATAAAGATGGGTGGAGAAGAGACGTGATATTAGTTTTTAAGACATTTTGTATATGCGAAAGTAACCCGAAATCAAATAACTTCAAAAAGGGCAACATAGTAAAAGTTTAAAACTAAAATGTTCGACATAATATGGTGTCTAAACCAAAAGAAGAAATTCAGTTTCATAACATGTCAGTGAGGTAATACACCTGATTGCATATGATTCTTTCTGGAAAGATAATTCTAGTTTTTTTTTGATAAATACTGACTGATACACCTGAAGCATTTTTCAGAATATGAAACTTATTATTAGTTAGTTGGTGGGGAACGATAGATAGTACAAAATGATTGAATAATGGGCAATTCTGTGTTAAATTGCTTCTCGTAAAAGAAGAAAAAATAACAACTATCCTCAGTCTTCATCACACGTGGATTTAATCGCATTGAGAGACTTATGTGTGCATAGAGAGAAGACTGAACTTCTGAAACAATCATCATAGGAAATGGTTACACAATGGAGCACGTGAATTAACAAAGGCAAAGGAAAAATTGTCTAGTTTAGATAATTTTTCTTTCAATCTCCATGTGTAATAAAATTGTTTGTAAAAAAACAACTGTCAGGTATGATTTCCATGAATACATTTGAGTGGTTTGTAGATTAATGTCTCACTAAACAGAATGTTTATAAATTTCACCTCTATGCATTATAGTTCCATCTAAACAAATAAAGTTTAGTATCTTTTTTGGTAGGTATTAGTCTCTGTTAGGAAATATCTATACTACTTAATCGATGTACTTTACTACTATGAATGTTTCCCCATCATCTTATATTTTTCCTCTGGCAGAAACAGATGATAATTTTGATCGCGAATTGACTTCAGTTAGAGAAACAGTGTAAATCTACGAGTCCTAGAAAGCTGTTTCTCATTCTGTCTTGGGACTCTTCATCAGTGCACCCCCATGATCCTGCCACCAGGGATTGAACCTAGCGCCTTCATGTTTCAAGGTGAACTCGTATACCATTTAGTCGCTGGGACGGAGTCCATTGGCTCTTCACAAGTACGTACTGATGAAGAGCCCCAAAATGGAACGAAAAACCTGTCCAGTGCTCATCGGTTTACAGTGGTTCTCTAAATGAAGTCAATTCACAGGCAAAACTGAAGTTGATCGGATCCCTGCAAATCAACACCTGAGGAGAATCGGGTTAAGTGGCTTCTTTACTGTAAAACTTCCCAAAAGTTGGCTCTACAATTGAGTTTATTTTATTTAACAGAGTAGAAATAGAACAAATGTTTTCATGAAATGGCTGTGTTAAGTTATGCATTCGTTGTGAATACGCTACTATAATTATAATTTGTACTGTTTCTCTATTATTTCTGATAAAATACACTACTAGTTCATTGATATAAGTAGTCTGATACCACTCACATTAGCAAGTAGTGCTTACTAGCCAAATTGAAGTAATCTAAACGTCGGATGACCATTTCACTCGTTTTCAGTTGAACTCATCACCAGTGTTCCTGGTTTGGCCTGGCTTAGAGAGAAAATCCAATTCAAATATCTGAATTATATATAGCTAGCTACTTGGGTGAACTAGTAATATGCAAAAATCAAAATTCCTCATTTGCAAAATTACACAGTTCGAAGTGAGAAATCACCGCAAATACCTTTGGAAACCAGAAATATTTATTTGGATCACAGTATGTGGTCTGCTTAATACCCTAAATGGAATATTGTTCTTTAAAAGCATTGAATGTGTGTTAAAATATTAAGTGAAGATTAGATATATTAGTCAATGGCTTTGCAAACTATTTATAGGCTTTCAGGATATCGTTAATTCATGAGACAATTTACCTCTTTTCCAGATTTTCCTGTCAATCTGTCTAGTGTTAAACTCAACTGACAGCACATCAAAAAAGTGACGAATTTACGACACTATATTTTGGATATATCATAAACTTCAATTCATGGATAATCCCCATCCAGGCATTAATGAAAACAAAACACGTAGATCAGCGAAGAGTCTCTTTTTGGCGAATTCATTTTCTTAGCTGTACAATCGCAAATATATATGCATTGTTTTGTATGTGTGTGTACATTAAGTTTGTCAAACAAAGTTACAATTGGTTAAGGTTACTTTTAACTAAACAAGTGGAGGATGGTAATACAGGTCAAGAAAATTAATTAATAAAATAAATTACTACCCTAGTTTCATTAGCACTTAATTTTCTTGACCTGTATTACCATCCTCCACTTGTTTAGTTAAAAGTAACCTTAACCAATTGTAACTTTGTTTGACAAACTTAATGTACACACACATACAAAACAATGCATATATATTTGCGATTGTACAGCTAAGAAAATGAATTCGCCGAAAAGAGACTCTTCGCTGATCTACGTGTTTTGTTTTCATATCATAAACTAACCAGTTATTAAAGTAAAATATGTAACATTCACTAGAGACAAAATCTAATGGCATACATATTACAAAAGGGGATGCTGCTAATTCTCTTTTGTTTGTTTGTTAATTTATACATCATTAAATACACTTACTTGTTCTTCTAAGGCTCTAACACGTTGTTTATGAGCACGTTCACGTGCTTCAAGTGCACGTTCAGCTTGAGCTTTACTACAACGTAATCGTTCCATTTCAAGTTCACTTTCAGCACGGTGTCGACTGGCCAATTCATTTAAATGCTTAGAATGTGCTTGCTCCATTTCAACTAATTTTGACTAGAATAAAATAATAAAGATGATTATTATCATTATTATTAATAAGAAGTAATTCTGTTTGACATGACTTCTTAGTCTTTTTCTGTGTGCACAACACACTTACGTCATAATTGACTAAAGGTTTGAATAAATTTATTTAGTAACAGTGTCACACTCCATGTAGAACTATACTGAGAAATGAACGACGCAAAGGATAGTAACATGAAAGTGGATGAGTAATCAGTAAATCTGGGAGACGAAAGCGAGTGAATTTATCTGGATCATTGAGAATGATTGTGAACCATATCATCAGTAGTCTCTGGCTATAGGTCCTTAGAATCACGACGACCTCAACCAAGCACTGGACGCCTGCTTACTTCACTTAAACCAACAGTCAAACACTTCATGGACTGATTAAAACCTAATTGTATATCATCTACCATCGTCCGACAAGAAAGGTGGTAGTTTGACATGCACAGAACCTCTCCTAGCCATCTTATTTAATGCAGATTCACAAAGATATTGCTTGACTTTCTCTCCTTACCTAAAACTACCCCTAATATCAATATTACTCACTGTATTATGCTGTAGTAAGAGCTGGTTGATAACCACATTGGTAGACAGTAATTTATGTCAATGTTTGTCCCCCCAAATATTGGTCGTGAGAAAAGTAAGATCAAAGACTGATTCAGCAACTAACCACAGCAGACTTTGCGTAGGCGGATACAATTAGCATATGGATGATCTGATATTCAAGAAACAGCCACAAAGAGATGCAAGGTTAACTTTCTGTGAGAAACAACTAATCAGAAGACTGTGTTTTTCTGCTAACAATGATCTATAATAATGTACATGAAAATCTATAAATATGTGTTGATTTCCTTAATAAACGATCTGTTTCCTGGCCCTTCTCTTATGTTGTTACAATACTACTTAACATGGGAGGTATTCTGTTTGGAAATTTTGTAGTTTCTTAAAAATTATACTTAAGGATGACGTATAGTGGGTAAATTTCCTGTAATTTCTGTTAGGATTTTCGTATATTCTTTCTCTTTGTCTCTTTTTAAGAATATTTATCGATAATTTTAGCAAAGAGTGTTTTGGGAGGCAAATATACTTAATTAGATCACGTTTTCCGTAATTAACGTATTTACTTAGTAAATAAGGGAAACCAAAAGATGAAGGTAGATTCTTAAGTTTTGCATTTTTATTACTAAAGCTGCTTTGGGTTGTATAACTTAACAACCATATGGAGGGGAAATAATTAGCGAAGTGTCAAAATAACCTGGAGTTAATCTAGATATCAAAGCAGTCACATATGGATTATCGTCTCAGCGTTTAAGTGAATAAACTATGAGACCAACGAATCACAAAGTACTAGATTCAATTGCCATCTTAATTTAGAATTATAGATCTTACAATTGTGTGCACGACAGGTCCTGTTTTGTGGTAATATGAAATTTAAAGTGAAATACTTTGGCAACGAATAAGATGTTTTTACCTACATATTAATGTTAGCTAGTATCACATAATTTAATTACCACCGATGGCATGCTGTTCTGACTTTTAGTCAAGTGTTCACTGTTAGTGAGATGATCTATGGACTTTGATTAGCAAAACAGTATATTACTAACTATTTGTATGAGTTAACTTTGTTTTTCTGATTGACTAATTATTATGGAACCGAAATGTTTGGTGTCTGATGTAGTGAATGCTTGGTTCGAGTCTTACTCGAAACACCATCACTTACTGAGGATTGTAGTCCCACTCACCTGATGACTCCGAAATTGGACGAAATTCGTATGCTGGATATAACATATTACTAACTTTTTATAGGAAAACGTACAATTCATTTTTTTACTTAACACACTGGAATGACTTCATTTAATATACAAATGGTTAACTTATCGTATCATTTTGCAATTTTATGCTATAAAAGAAAACATTTAGAATTTCAATGAGATGCTCACTAGCGACTCGCCCTATTCAGGTAGGTAGTTACCTGGGGTTCTAGTGAGAAGTCGTGGCCAGTAGGGTGGAGCAAGTCAGGTGTGAGGACAAATACTCACCGAAGGCATTGGCTAGGGGTCGCGCTATGTCGTGGCTGGAATGTCTATGAGCTCGCCTTGTAACGAGAAGGTTCTGGGTTCGAACCCCGGTGGGTGGGTGCGTACTTCTGAAGAGTCCCAAAGAGCTACGACGAAACAGGTTTTCTAATGGTTCTCTAACTAATATCAGCTCATGATGAAATCCTGTAACTAATCAAATCCCTACAAACCAACACTTCAACATTTAGAATTTGTATTATTTTGAATGAAAGCTTACCTGTAAAAATTGAATTTGTTTTCGCCTATCTGAATTTTCTTCTTCTAGGCGTCGTAGTGTAATCTCTAATTCTGTACGATCAAGATTACTCTTATTGACAATTTCTTCATTTTGTTGTTTTTCTCTTTCAGCTTTTTCCAAATGACGTCGAAGATTATGTCTATCTTTCTCTAAATGATTACTTGATCTCATTAGCTGATCACGCATATTTTCAACTTCTGTTAAATTACGCTGTAAACATGATACTCTTTCTAAAAGTTCTTGTCTTTCTTTGAGAAGCTGAAATTTAAACAAAAACAATCAGTGTAATAAGAAGATAATTTAATTGATTTGATTGCAGTATGATTAAGAATTGAAGACTGTTTAAATGAAAGTCGTTGTTTTACTGCCTGCTTCCATTGATACGTCTGTGGTTCACTGATAGGATGTTCACCAATCACGAATGTGGTCCTCAGTTCGATTGGTATTAGATGGTTGGAGGCGATCGGCAGGAAGTCTCGCTCGACCTAGGTTCAGTGCTAGTCAGCAGTCATCAGTGAGGCGTATCTGCAACCTCGAAGAAACTCATGTCCCTTCTGAAACTAGAATCCGTGTCAACCAGTGAGACTGTAATTACTAGTGCTCAAACAAAAATATCCACTAAAGTCCTACAGAAGGTCAGTCGCAAGCCTTAATAGCTCAGTGGTAACGTCTCTAACTGCAGTTCTCACTGGGTGACGCGGGTTTGAATCTCAGAGTGGTGAGACATGAGTTCCTTCAAGGTTGCAGATACGCCTCACTGATGAGTTCCGACTAGCACGAAACCTAGGTCGAGCAAGGCTTCCTGCCGTCTGCCTCCAACCATCTAAAACCAACAATTCACATCACACTGCACCGTGATCGCTAGCCACCTAGCATGGTGGCCACATTGCAAGCCTGACTGATAGAATTCAGTGTGCACCAAAGATAGGACTAGACACATTACACTAGTTACTGATTAGTATCCAGTCTTATATATATATATATATAGTATAGGACGGCTCTCATGAAATGTTTTTCTGTATTTCCTAACCCACACTTTTGTATATGTATGAGTGAATATGACTTCGCTGATTCTGGTGTATCCAATTTTGTTAATGATATGTATCCACATATATATATTTATGTGTGTGTGTATGTTGATCTCTCTTTCTGTTTGCTCGCTTAGTCTGTGACCATTTCACTTGTTGACAGTCCGTAGCTTGGTGACATATATCCATATACGGTGGTTGTTGACATGTCTGCTATATTTTGATATATATATATATATATATATTTCGTTCTCACAATATTGTGTGACTGACTTACACTTATTTTGATGTGATACCACTTATTGATTCTCCTTGTGTTTGGAAAATAGAAGTATCATCGCAAACCTAGTGGTCTTCTGATTTACGCCTTCTTGCGTCAGGACTATTGGTTTCTCGACCAGTCCATAACATAATTTAGTCGACGAGTACATAACAGTTAAGTATGCCGATAATCTGATTGTTTCAGAGTCTGTAAGTTCCCAGTTAGATTGTTTCAAAATGAATAACTTTTTTATCAGAAATTAGTCAGTAATTCTTGTCTAATAGTCTTAAGCTAAATCCTTTTGAATGTCAAACTGTTAATTTACCTTTCAGACACAAAACAGATTTACATGAACTAGTTAATTCTTGTAATACAGAGGATATTGAGATTGAAACTAAGTTGAGTATTAAGTACCTTGAGTTAATTCTTTCCTCTAATCTCTCTTGGTCTTTTCATATCATGTTGATTTCTAGAAATATATTCTGTGTAGCCTTCTACATTAGGAACTTAAATAAATTTGCTATCAATAATTCTCTACTGATGCAGTTAGTTAAGTATTATATGCTCCCTATTTGCTTTTATTCCTTCGCCTTTATCTTTACTGGGCTATTTGAAAAAGGCTTTATCACACTGTGAAGAACTCTAAAAGCTATCAGTAGGATGAGTGGTTATTATGCTGTCATTATTATTATTATTATTACTCCTATTAATACTACCATTCTCACTTTGAATCGTTTCCACTTGTCCCACTTGTCATTCTAAATCCAAAAAGTGTCTTTGCAATGTTGAATCCTATCTCATCAAATTTCGCACCATGTTACGTAACGTTTTGTATTAGCCTACTAACCCTATAACTATGCACCCCTTTCCAACGCCTATCTACATCAGTGGTGTGGTCGTACAATGCTCGTTGACCACGCAGATGGTCGACGCACCCCTTTACCTGGCTAAGTCAGTAATAAGACTGGTAAAGAGGGAAGGTTGGGCAGGAGGCTAGCAACCTCATTCCGCAAATAAAATAAACACCACTGCTACCGAAACTTCAGAGCTCTAGTTTGAAGCCCTATATCCCACTGGGAACGTAAAGGAATAAAATAAATAGTAATAATTTTATTTTTATTTATTTATTTTTTTGATTACAGCTTGATTCCACACCATATTTTTGGTACAAGTATGGAATTTTCAGCGTGGATATCGGTAGCCCGAAATTCGCAGGCCGACCATAGATATCAAGTGTGCGTCGGCGTGGGCTCGAACCCCGGACCATATGCATGGTCGGCGAGAGTCCTAACCACTGTTCCACCGACGCACCACCAGCACCTATACGTCTGATGAATTATTCTATGTATGACATCAATTGTTTTGCCACTTGAGATCTAACTATGATTATAATAGCATATATTTTAATTACATTTCATATTACTATTATTATTTAATGTATTTACACCTATGGTTCAATTCCTTCACTGGGTATAATTTTTTTTACAGAAAAACCATATATATACGATTGTGCATCATGATAATAAATTTGGTGAAAAGAGTCTCTTCATTGAATATTGTGTTCCTAATATATAATTGTGGACAGACACTTGAACTCATGTAAGAATTCGGTAGATATCATCTTGTTGGACTCTCAGCAGTCTTTTTATTCACAACTTCCTCTTGCATCTCATTAAGTAGGACTAGAAGCAATTATCTATAATTTTATGCTTGGGCAAATAAATAGAAGAAAGTCAATGGCACCTTATTTATCAAGTATTTCATGGGATGAAATAGTGAATAAACAGTTCTTTCGATACTTTCTATCGTCAATACAAAGCTGTCAATATTTCTGTTAATTTATTGGCATTATCATTAGTGTAAATGTTCCCCTAGTTTTCTTTTCCCTTATTATGGGATGCAAACAGAACATTCGATGAAATATAGTACTACATGCTGAGAATTCCATAGTGATTCAAAAGTTTCTGTTTGGAATTAAGACATCATTATCATCATTATTTTTGAAATAGTGATTCAGAACATTGACTGGTTTCGCCAGTTTTCTTTTATTCCCTACATTCCCAGTGGAACATTTGCCTTCAAGCTAGAGCTTTGAAGTTTAGGGAGCAGTGGTATTTGCCTTTACTGGATGGGGTTGCTAGCCTCAAGCTCAGCCTTCTGTCTTTACTAATCTTATACTGGCTTAGCGAGGTAAATGAGTGAGTCGGCTGGGGATCGAACCCCGAACCACATGCATGATTGGCGAGCATTCTACCATTGTACCAGTGTGAGTTCATAATGAAACGGTAGAAGACGAAGGATTTGGTAGAGGAATGTTTGTTTGCAATTTGGCTTCTCCATGTCATGATCATCATTTTCCCTTCATGTTCCCAGTGGAACAAGCTAGAGGCTTGAAGTTTCTGTAGCAGTGTTTGTTTTTTACGCCCAACCTTTCCTCTTTACCGGATTTTTATTACCGGTTTGGCGAGGTAAAGGAATTCTTCGGCCGGGAATCGAACCCCGTACCATGTGCATGGTCGGCGAATATACCAACCACTGTGCCACCGACGCACATTCACACAGCGATACACCCATTGACTGGGCATTGGTTTTCAGGAGAACCAAACATACCCATCCCTGCCTCCTGCGAGACGAGACCGGCATGCAGAATCATCCTGTGGCGCAACCACTAGAGAGACCTCTTCCTCGGTGGGTGTAACGAAATTATATACATCTTATCTTCATATCACCATTTGCACAGATCTTCCTTGTTGTTCTCCTTCTGGACTTCATTCATATTGTATTTCATTGTGTTCCTTTCACGTCTCCAACGTTTCTCCGCAATGCTGAATCACCTGTTTTCTCTGACGTCCAATCAGTCTCCCTGCCATTTGATATTTTTATACTGGTAAACACCTCTTTATATATACTACTGATAAATATTTTCAGTAGTACGCGCCACAACACGTGTTCCTTTCGATCACTGAATTCAACTTTTATAAGATTACTAGAATTGGTAAATTTCTGTCTAGAACCTAACTGTGCCTAAAAAATCAGATTTCTGTAACAAATAACATGTATCATAGTTTCCAAAATTGGTCAAGAATTTTAGTAAAAGTTTTGGATATTAAGGTTGAATAAATGTAAAAACAAAACAACCGTTTAATGAAGTTGAAACCTATTAAGATAATAATTATGCAAAAAAATATGTTTCCAAGTCCACAGTTAATAGTTTGAAAAAATTTGGCCATTAGGTATATAATGTTCATTATTTATAAACAGTTTTATATTTCTCAAAGAATGAAAGCACAAAAAAAACTTTTTGTTTTCACTAACGTTTCGTGGTCTAGTGGATAACGCTTTGGCGTTTGAAACTATGGGTACTGGGTTCGAACTTCGGTGGGAACATCATCACTCACTGAGAAATGCAGGTACATCCAGATGAGAAGTCCCAAATAGGACAGCAGAAATGTGCATCCTGGATTCCACTGCTAGTCACCATCCACCAATTTAAAAAAAGCCTAAATTATATGCGTCGGTGGTATAGCGGTTAGGACGCTTGCCGACCATACACATGGTCCGGGGTTCGATCCCAGGCCACAGACGCACTCCTTTACCTCGGTAAGCCAGAAATAATGCTGGTAAAGAGGAAAGGTTGGGCATGAGGCTAGCAACCCCATCCTGTAAAATACACACTGCTACAGCAACTACAAGCCACTAGCTTGAAGACCTATGTTCCACTGGGAACGTGAAGGAAAAAATTATTATTATTAATTATTATTAACGTTTCGTTACCTAAAGCTAACTGCTTTATAAAAGTAATATTATGTCAGAATTTATAAAATCTCAGATCATGTAAATTGACTTAATCATACTTCTGCAATTTGAGATATTTTTACGTTTGTAATTCGGTGAATTGGTAAGAATAACAAACCATGTGAGGACTGTTGGATTTAATGAACGCATGAAATTATAAAAACAGCTTGTCGTATTGATTATCGCTTTTGATCACGAACTGACATCAGTAAAAGAACCAATGGAAAGCCTGAGAGTCCTACACAGCTGTTTTGCCGTAGTCTGGAACTCTTGAGCAGTACGCACCCACTGGTGTTCAAACCCCACAGACGGAACAGATGTTGAGAACTCACAGATTTTTCAATGGTTCTCTAACTGATGTCAACCTGTGATGAAATCCTGTAACCAATCAAATCTCTGCCATCATGTTTGTATTGATTTAGTAAATTCTTGCTGGGGAAGGGGGTTTGAACTAGCTAAAATTCTATCTGAATCCATCATTTCTGTTCGGACAGTTTGAATTCAATCTAAGATGACGTGCTTTAAGTATGCGAAGTGTTTTGTGATTTTTGGAATTTTTCTGGATGATTTTAACATCGTCAGCATCGGTTTTGTAGCCTGATTCTACAGCGTTTAAAAGACCTATGAATAATGATTTTCCAAACTGTTATCAATAAATATATCGTTAAAATATCGGCAAAACTAATATCGTTTTTTTTCATTGAACCTACCGTTTGAAGTTGTTTACTTAACTCATGTTCATTTTCTTGTCGTTTATCAAGCATATTATTGGTTTGACGAATTTGTCCTTCAAGTTCTCCACGACGAAGTTCAGCATCAGATAATTCAGCTTGTAATGATTGCATTCTCTCATTTAATTGTTGATTTTGATGTTTTTGTTCATGTAATACACTACGTGTATTGTCCAAACGTTCCTGAATTGTATGTTTAAAATTTTTAAAAAACAAAAGGAATTTATATTCATATTGAAATTCATCTGAGATTTGCAAGTTAAAAAAAAGGAGCGATGCCGGATAACGAATACACAAGTAATTTTGAAACTCATAAGCGGAGAGAATTTAGTGAAACCAGATCTTAGACACAATACTTGTAGGAAAATAGTGAGAGGAGTGTTAGAATATATTTTTTTTATTATAGCTTGATTTCACATCATATTTTTAGTACAAGTATGGAATTTCCAACATGTGATATCGGTAGACGAAATTTAGCAGGCCGATCATTGATATCAGGTGTGCGTCGGCAGGGGATCGAACCTTGGACCATATGCATGGTAGGTGACAGTCCTAACGTTGTGTCACCGACGCACAGGATACACGGCTAGAAGTGAATGGTGAATAACAGTAGAATCAAGGATGCACACTTTTTCTCATTTGGAACTTATTCACTGAGACTCAAACCCAGTGAAAACACTATCACTCCACTGAGGAATGCAGATACAGCCAGATGTCGAGTCTCAGGTAGGAAGAAACATGCATCCCGGATTCCACCGCTAGTCACCATCCACCAAATTACTCCAAGTTAATCAGTAGACATCGCTGAAGTTCCTGTATTAGTAGCCGACATATCAATTGAGGCCAAACACATCGGTCCAATCGATCAATAGGGAAATCAAAATTGAATTAAAAATGAAGGATATACGGTTAGTTTAGGGTTAGATTAGGGTCAGGGTGAAACTTGTAGTAGGTTTTATGTTAGACAAAAATTAGGTTACAGGAAGATAACAGGTGTTCAGAGTTAAATTAACGCCAGGTTAGCGACCTTTAAGAGTATTTGGTGGTTTCACTCAGTGCCACTGATGCGTTCGTTTGCTTGGATTTTTACTCTCTAACTTCGCCCTAAATATTAAGTTTATTCCTGTATGACGATGATTTTCAGAGCAATATCATTTTACAATAATCCAACCCTTCTCTTTTTTTCCTTCACGTTCCCCAGTGGAACATAGGGCTTCAAGCTAGTGGCTTGAAGTTTCTGTACCAGTGTTTATTTTTACAGGATGGGGTTGCTAGCCTCCTCATGCCCAACCTTCTCTCTTTACTAGAATTATTTCTGGCTTACCGAGGTAAAGGAGTGCGTCTGTGGCCTGGGATCGAACCCCGGACCATGTGCTTGGTCAGCGAGCGTCCTAACTGCTATGCCACCGACGGACAATTCAACCCTTCACTTAACTTTGTTTGAATTAAAGCTTATTATAATCAGTCGTCGACTTTATATATTTTTTGTTAAATGTTGGATAACTCATAGAGTCAGAGAAAAAAACAACATACTGAAAGTATCTACCGCATTTATTTTACTCACGATTTTTCAGTAAAATATGAGGATAACAAAATAATATGAAATACTGGGTTTTTTATTTTACATTATTCCCAGATGAAATCTTATTTCTTTTGAATGAATATAAATAGGTTTTAATGTAAAACAGAAAGGGTGAATTATGCACCAGATACATAGACATTAGTTCATTTGTAAAGGTAGGCAGGTTTAGTTAAGCTTCTAGCAAATTGTAGAAAAATTCTAACTAGTAAATCGGAAAATAGAAATAATAATAAAATAAAACAGATGGAAGTAGCTTTGAAGCTAAAATAAAACTATCCTATAAAATCCATAAGGAAGTTTAAAATTGCTTACAATAAAAGAAAGATTGGGAGTGAAATTACTAACCGGTGATAAGAAAGAATTTATTATTATTATTATCCTATAAGAAATTTCTATATAGGAATCTTAGTAAAGCAGGAGTTAGGATAGTATTTAAACTTACAGACGCACTCACAGACAAGCTTTGTAGGATAAAGTACTCTATTGACCCAGTTAGACAATTTAATGTAATCCACAATATAGCTTAACATAACTCTTAGGTAAACTACACAGATCAGGTCAGTAGAACAGAGGAGGTCAGATTATCGGAAAATGAATAAAATAACCTCAAAAAGATGAATGGCTTAGATAAAAACTCGACAGCTGCAATGCATTCACAGTTCTAAAATTCAGTATATGGTTAGGTGGAGGAATAAGTCGATCATTGAATATCTGCTCTCTGAATCTACACTTAATGCATACAATAGGGATGACGTGACACCAGCATTCGTGGTATGGATAATATTACTAATAATAAGTGAAATTGTGGTTCATTGGATTAACTACACGGTTTCCAGCTGGTGAGTCCTGGGTTTGAGTCCCGCTTTACCCACTTCAGTATGAGCAACTGGGTAGGATTGTAGCGTGTGCTACTGACAAAATTTATCAGTAGTATAAACAGAGACGTTTGTCGTCACATTAAATAGCAGAGAGATAGATTTGACGTCAGAGAGAGAGAGAAAATGAACCAGTGTAGCGGAAAAACATGGGAGACACGAAATGAAGACAAAGAAACAAAATTTGAAGGATAGACTTAGTAACATATCGAAAATCTGTGCAAATGATGATTTTAATATAATGTATAGATACAAATACAAACAGAACCAATCACACTTAACGGGAGAAACTTAATAAGGGGTCACTTCCTTCACCTATCCAGGAAGCGTTGTTTCAGCCACACGTGGAACAGATGAAGATGTCTAAGCCAGACAGAATCGTCGCATATCTTGATGATTTCTAAGAAAATATTCCGTCTTATCTTCTAAATCAAGAAGTTAAGACATTCTGGAATGATCTAACCCTTACTCCTACAATTTGTTAACTCTTGCATCCTGCCTATTATTCTCTATTGTTCTCCCTTAGTTTTTCTTGGGCTACTGAAGAAAGACTATGCCTTATTGCGCAGGATGTTAAAGGTTGTCAGCAGGGTAAGCTACGTGCCACTTAACTAACCAGCTTGTTAATATTGTGGTCGACAGGCACATGGACTAATGTGAAAAATGGGCTCAATCCATTTTATCTAACTCACACCACTGTCTTCATTCACAACTCTCGCCTCGTATCTCATCAGGCAGAACCAGAAGCCTACATAGAAAACTATATTCTCGCACTAGTAAGTACAAAAACTCAACCATACCCTACTTAGCTCGTGTTCTGTGCGATAAAGAAAGCATTAGGCGTGATACCTATAACTTATTAAATAGTCAGTAGAACAACTGGATATCGTCTTTCCAACTCATATCATTTATAGGTACAACGTTTTCTTTCTTTCCTTTCTTTTTTTTGTTATGTGCTGTTTTCTTTCTCTCTTCCTTACCAACTCTACTTAAAACATTCTTCTCCGTTCTTTCACATTCTGTATATCTCGACCTTTTGTTGTCGCTTACGCCAGTAAATATGCTAGTAGTATCTACTTTTCTAACAACTTCCAAAACTCTGTTCAATTTCGCCTTTGCTACTGACATGTCAATATGATGTTCTTAAAAACTTAGATTACCCTTAATCGATGTAGAATTTTATTTATTGTTAATGTACTAACTGGATGCAATACTGTAGTAAAATGCTGAGAATTCCATTCTGTATCACAAGTACTGATTTGGAATAAAGCAAATTATTATTATTATTATTATTATTAAAAACAAACGGGTGAGAGCCTATTGCTCAACAAATATGTAGAAGAAAATGGAGATGGATCGGGTGTACATCGAAGAGGCCGTCGAATGATATCGCGTGCCAGGCCAGTGCTCGAGTGGAACCCGAATGGGAAGTGACAAGTAGGTCATTGGTGCGAGGGTGACATCGAGGAGATGGCATGGCGAGGAGGAGATGAGAAAGTTTGATCAACCATGGGCCCAGCTTAAGAAAACATCAGAAAGTAGAAGAAAGTAGGGATGTGTTTTTGGTGCCCTATGTTCTACTTGGAACACAAGGGATCAATAATAATAGTGTAAAACATAATTTCCCTATACAGATTCCAAATAAACATTCTGTTATCAAGTCTCTTGTCTTCTTCCGTTACAGTATCACCAGTCTTCACACGATAAGTTTGCCTCTTAGCCTGGCTCACAATAAATCTGTTCCGGGTAACTCAGATTAAACAACTACCAACAAAATCAATGAACAAGAGATATCAGAACTATAAAAACAAAGTTTGAAAGTTACATGAGCGCCTCGCAATTGAAACATCATCAGTAAATAATACTGTATTAATGTATATTTTACCAAATATAACTGTTCAATGATGAAGTTTACAGAAAAACTGTATTTCAACTCAATATATGTAAAAAAATAGTTAATTTGCAACAATTATACTCATAATATAAACCAACCTGTAGTAATCGTCTATCATTTTCTGAATTAGTTAAAGCTTTTTGTAAATGTACCAGACGTTCTTGTAGTTCTAATATAGTTTGATTATGATCTGAAAGACTTGAATTCAACTGTTGCATTTTGTCTTTACTAGCACTTTCTAATTCTTCTGTTTTAGCCAATGCTGTACTCAGTCGATCCACAGTTAATTGTAGCGATTGTGATTTAGATTCTAAATCCTAGGATTAAGGAATTTCAAAAAATAGCACTTAGTTATACAAAAGAAGTTGTGGCAAATGAAAAAAGGCACTCCAGTGGTTCAGGAGTAAAAGTCTAGCCAGCCACAAAAGTGGTTGTGGTTCGATTGCCAACCAACGCACTTCTATACCTCATTTAGCTGGTATCAATACCGATAAAGAGTGGAGACGGAGCATAAGGCTGTCAAGTATGGCTACTGAAAGTTTAAGGCTTGAAGCTCTGTGTTTCACTTGGAACATAAATAGTTATTATTGACGAATTTATTTATAGTTCGTCAAAAGCTTTTATTCACTTTATTTAAGTCAGTCTTGTTTTCCCGTTGATTGACTAGACCGAAATGCCTAGTCTATGTTGATATGGTGGTTCCTAGTACGACTGCTTCAACGATCTCTAAAAATTAGCATATTGTTAAATGGTAGATGGTGATATAGGCTGGAGATTTGGTGCTGTTAATCAACAGGAAAATCAAAATTGACCTGAACAAATGATAACTGATACCTGTTGCACAACAGACGGTCCAAGTGGTTTAGCGGTTAACGTTTTAACGTTTAGAACGATGGATCCAGGGTACAAGCCTCAGTAGGGAACATCATCATTCAGTGGGGAATGCAGGTACATTCAGATGACTAGTTCCAAATATGACGAAATATCAGTCTTAAATTTCACCAAATGAAATTATTCGCTTTAATTCTAACTCACTATAGTATCCTTTTTAAACCACAATGGTCATTTATTTTAAAAGTAAGACTTCACCATCTATGAGACAATATACTGTTAGGACGGACAAGTTTGTTTGTTTGTTAGCTGTGAAGTCATGATTTATGAATGTGCTGACAGCTATTTTGTAGCTTCACTTTCCGAGGATGTGGACCAATTAGATTTGTTTGTTTATCTATGGCTTGTATTCTTGAGGTTTTCAATAATGAAGTTTGTTGTTTTTGTTGCGATTAAATGTGACATTTGCATTTATTTCAGTATAGGGGATGTTTTCAAGTCACCAGTTGGTTATAGTGTCGTGTCCAAAGATGTTAACAAGTCAAGTTAAACGACAACCACAAAACGGTAATACTACGTTATAACATATACAAATACAACTTTCACATGTATTTACTTTTCACTTGGTGCCTAATGTTTGTGAAACTATTCGATTAACTCTTGATTGGAGTCTATATAAAATTAGCCTCTGTAACTGAAACCATCTCAGATAACCTTATCAGTAATATTGGTTTATTGATATCTTTGTCCTGATGTAATTCCTGTTTAAATATTGGTGAAGTTTAGTTATTCTAACATAGAAATAAGAAAATATTTTCATTGTTTAGGATAATATTTTTTTAACCTTATTTACTATTTTAATAAACTATGAAATGACCGGAAGCGTAATTATGAATGTGTTAGGTGTTGTTTCATGCCTTCGAGATATTACACCACCGGTTATTTACACAACACCATTAACTAATACTCATTCTGAAGCTTTTTTCACACTTGATTGGTTGGAAGATTTTATCATGAGCTGACATCAGCAAGAGAACCGTTGGAGAACCAGCTGGGAGAACTGTTTCGCCAGCCTAGTTTGGGACTCTTCATCAGTTTATAACCACACTGCGGAGTTCGAACTCAGGACCTTCTGGTTACAAGGCGACTTCGTAGATCATCAAGCCACTGGGACCCGATCAAATAGTCAGCTTATGAGTTCTAAATTCTGGCAGTTCATGACCTAGCGCATTTATCTAAGATTTATGAAATAGGGATTCCACTACTTTTTGCGTCGATGGCATACCGGTTAGGACGCTCGCCGACCATGCACATGGTCCGGGGTTCGATCCCCGGCCAACGCACTCCTTAACCTCACTATACCAGAAATAATGCTGATAAAGAGGAAAGGTTGGGCATGAGGTTAGCAACCCCATCCTGTAAAAATAAACACTGTTACAGAAACTTCAAGCCACTAGCTTGAAGGTGGGGTACCTAACCTGTCATATGCTGTGATGGTGTTCTGGTGACTTTTGTTGCCAGATCTGCCAAGGGCAATCGGATAGTACGCGACCTAATGGTTGTGTGCAAGGTTTGAAGAAGGCCGTGTGCTATATGCATGTGCCTTACCCTGATAATGTTTATCTGCGCCAATGTTTCTTCTTTCTTTGTTCAAATTTATAAAAGGGAATCATTGTATGAAACTTTTAGTTCAGTGACTTTGTACAATTAACAAATAAAAGACAGCCATGAATATGCAGACTGTCTTAATTACAATTTCTTGGTTTCCAAGCAGAACAGAAGATTTCAGAAGCACAACTCCATCCCACTCCGTGTAACGGAATAATTGTTTGAATAATCCCTCCTGGAAGATATTTATACTTATTTGGATGCTTCAGTCAACTTTGTAGTTATTATCCATTTTTATCCTAGACTGTATATTCATTATTTTGACATTTGCATATCACATGTTAATTTTATTCTTATTATTTTGTCATTGTGCCTGTTTACTCTCTAATCTTAATACTTCTTTTTCTGATTGTGTATACACTGATGGTATGCTGAACGATGTAACTTTGTTATAGTGAATGTAGGTCATTCTGACTTTGAATTGTCTATGGGAAGCACTAGTGTGTGTGATTCTTATGGACAGAGTTTTCGATTCCCCCTGTTTTGTGTGGAGTGTTCTACTTGATTCTAAGTGCCCATTTTGTACTTAGATTGGACTGTACAGTTAGTTGCCTAACATCATTGTTGAAGTAATTTTAAGTCTCTGAGGTTTTCATTGTTTAATAGAAGTGCACTTTATTGAAAAAGATAATCTTTTTCCTGTGTTTGGAGCTTTTTGTGACTGCGTATATCTCAAGGAGGCTTTATCAGTTACACAGGAAGTATGACGCAGAGATAGATATCCTGACTTCAGACGACAATGAGTAAATTTTCTCAACAGCTACACTTGGCCCTTTGAAATTACTTTTTAAAAAAAAGCTCCGCATCTGCTCACAATCTTTCAGTTTTTCTTCTAGCATCATACATATTCTTCTAGTCATCGTTGAATGCTCTAGCCATTACTTCCCATTTCGACTCCACTCGAGTAGTCAGTTAAAAAAATAAATGTCAGTTGGTTATCAATCCAAGTCATTCTTATCAGTATTATTGAGCACTCTACTCGAACTCATGTAGCCAGGTGAGGGCTTACGGCGAGTTGTCATTTGAAGTGGTGACGACTAGTGGTGTGCGTCAGGGATGCCCATTATCTCCATTCCTATTCAACCTTATCATAGATGTGCTAATGGATATAACCCTAACTCACTTCAGAGACACAGGGATTGACCTGCTACCAGGGAATAATCTTGTTGACTTAGAATATGCAGACGATATAGTCCTTCTAGGCGAGGACGCTGACAAAATGCAGAGTTTTCTGAACACCTTGAGCTGCAATCTACGAATGTGTGGCATGCGATTCGCTCCCACCAAATGCAAGATGATGTTACAGGACTGGACTACACCGACTCCTAGTTTAGAAATAGGGAGTGAAGTGGTAGAGCACGTTGACGGCTTCACTTATTTGAGAAGTACCATCAGCCAATGCCAACGGGTTGATCTCTGAGGAAATCTGAGCACGGATACAGAGGGCTGGTTTCGCATATGCCAGTTTACTCTGTCTCTGGCGTAGACGTGATATCCGGCTGGCTGTTGACCAAAGGGCGGGTGTACTGCCCGTCAGTCCGCTCCGTCCTCCTTCATGGTCAGCTGTGAGACCTGGACATTGAGAGTGGAAGACATGAAAAGATTAGCTGTCTTTGATCATAGGTGCGTGCGTTCTATCTCCCGTGTGAAGTGGTATAATAAGGTGAGAAATATTGAGGTTAGGCGTCGAGTGCTAGGTAGGTGAGAGGGGAAATCAATTGACGAGGCTGTGGAATTACATCGACTGAGATGGTTAGGACATGTGTTACGCATGCCTAGCCTAGTCATCGCCTTCCTCGACTGACGGGCAATGTTAGCTGACATAGGGTCAGGCTGGAAAAGAGTTAGTGACGGTCAACCCTAAACATTACACCACTCAATGAAATCTATAACAGTTAGTTCAAGCCAGCCATCCACGTAGGAAGGTGTAGACTTCCTGACTTGTTGGGTTCCTCGGGACGGTAAAAACCAATGTTTTGGAAACAATTGGTGACATGGCTCAAAATCGTTCTCAATGGTCGGCCCATATGCATCCACTCCTTGTGACTTATGATTTTCAATGGAACTCTATTGTTTTTCGTTATTACTCTTCCTTTGTTTCACACCTCCGTTTACTGTCTCTATTATGTATTTCTTCTACTTTCTTCTGTTGCTTTCTGTGCTACATGGAGTGTGGCAACTCGAACTGTCGCATATATGTGCAAAGTTCTATGTCGAAACCAGACAAACAGTATTATTTATAGTACTTTCATATAATAACAGTTTAACAACTGAAAGTATGTATTTAGATAAGATTGTTCTGTACAGATTTAGTGATATTTTGAAGTCACAATATCTATTCCTATAACTAGTCTACCACTTGAAGTCTACTCTTGTGACCATCTAATTTACGGACACTGAAATTTAAAACTCGTGAATTTACGTGAGTTATATACTCTTTGAACTTAGTATGTATGCATTGTGAAGAAAAGTAACTTTTATGCACACACCGAAATAAATGCTTATTGTCTTTTGATTTCTTCCAAAAATGTTTTCTTTGAAAACGATTTGTAATAAATGTTATTTGTGTTTATTGGATAATAGACATAAAAATTGAAATATTATGTTTCTCAAAATTCGTGAGTAATAAATGCATATAGTTTCAAGCATTCCGTCATTTTACATTCAAAATTCATTAACTAAGCGATACAACCGAAAAAAAACAGTATTGCCTCACTATTTGCTTATTGCATAATCTTACATAAAGCTAAATTCAAGATTAAAATCATCAGTTGGTTATAATAAGGGAGATTTGTAGCTCAGGTGGATGATTTTGGGGAAGTTGTGTTCTCTAAGCTGAACGGTTTAGTTGCAAAGCTTCCATTACCTTACTGGACAACATCCTCAGTGCAGACTTCAATTTGAAGTAAGCATCTTCCATAACGTTTTGGCAATTTCCATCTCATTGGGTAGTTGATTGTTGGTCTGTATCTGACATTGGTTGATAGGATTTAGCGACGGAGACAGTCATGGAGAAAGAATAATTGTTCTCTAGTGGATACTGGCCATTTGGCGAGGTCCTTCCATTTTCTAACATAAGAAGGGTATTCTATTCATGATATTTAGATATCTCGGTGATCAAATTGAAATATGCACTGAAGATATTTTCTAGTGAGATAATGAAAGCTTCGCAATTAAACCATCCATCTCAGAGTGTGGTGAGCTAAAATTGGTAGACAGCAATTTACGTCAATATTTGGTGTTGAGAAAAACAAGAATAAAGACTTTGCGTGGGCGGATCTGATTAGCAGGTATATGGTCTGACCTTCAAAGAAACGCCTACAAAGAGATGACAGATTAACTTCCAGTGAGAAAACGACCAATCAGAAGACGCTGTTTCTCTGCTAACAATATCCTATAATAATGTACATAAAAATATATAAATATCTCTTGATTTTCTGAATAAACGATCTGTTGCCTGGCCCTTGTCTTCTGTCGTTACAAGAGAACATATAAATACATAGAAATCATTCAATGATCAATGACAATTGATACAGTTTAGTTTAAAATTCTTAAAGGTGTGAATGCTGACATAAAAAAATTAGTTAATTTATATACAAATCTCACTTGTATTTGTTTGCATAGATTTTGACATCGATCTTCTAGTATCTGATTCTCTGATTCTTTATCATTAGCACACATTTTTAAACGCTGTAATTCACCTTCTAATGATCGTCGATTCACTTCAAGTTGTGTAATACGATTTTCAGCTTCATCTAAAGCTCTTCGACTTAAGCGTCTTTCTTCTTCTAAACGTGCACTGACTTGACGTAAATGCATTATTTTCTCCTTTAATATATACAAAAATTATAATACACAGAAAGAGCGTTTAATGATCTTTCAACCGAGCAATTTTTTACTCTTTAAGCAATTTTATAACTGCCAATATCACTTATTCCTAACTGGCTTCAGTTAGAGAACTACTAAAACCTAGGGACTACTGGACAGTTGTTTCGTTTCAGCCTGAGACTCCTCATCAGCACTTTCCCATGACCTCACCATGGATCGAACTGAGCAACACTAGGTTACAAGGCGAGCTCATTGATCAGTTAGTCCGTGAATTATAACTTCTGCTAGCTCGTTATATATAGCATGACAGCTATCCAATGTCATCAGAGACTTTTGTCCTAACATTTAACTAACTTGGTGAATCGCAATGGGTACACTGTGCCACCAGAACTTTAGGCAGATTCATAGTTCAGTCAGTTATTGGTGAGCAGCAGATTGATTTTTAAGTTTATTAGATCAGAAATCAATCAGGGAATCCGAATTTATTCATGTTAAGGGAAACTTGTAGGCATTTTGAATGCCTATCAATTTTTATTTACTTAATTTTGCAGTCAGTTTTGAATGAAAATAAACACCAACATTTAGTAAATCATTAAATGAGCGAAAATAGAAATATGATGGGATTAACTGCTGATTTGGTAAAAAAAAGGTATTTCAAGGTATTGAAGTAATTGAAGACTGGAGTGTTAGGAATCCAGGTTAAATCGAATTTTGTAAGCTCAAGCCTGACTGAATAATACGCTTTAAAATTACAGTTGTCTTCACGATGTATTTAATTATTTCTGTAAAATTTTATTAATTATCAGTGTTAACATTAGCTGGTTAGCAAGATTAATATTGGCTTGAAGAAATAGGAATTATAAATATATACATCCAACTGTAATTTTCTTTCAAAAATATTAATAGAACTAGAGAGTCTATTACTTTTTTGTTCATTCTTAGAGCTCGGAGTGGAACGCAAGACTTTAGGCTTTGAAATTTCGTCAGTGATGGCATTGTTTTTAAAGGATGGGATTGCTGGCCTCACGTCCAACTTTCCTCTTTTCTCCGCCAACTACCAGCCAGTAAACTAGACGAGATTTTTAGAGTGCATCGGAAGAGAATTGAACTTGAACTGTGCGAGTAGTTGGTAAGCATTCTCCCACTGAGCCACCGACAAATACTGGCATCTGCACCACGGGGCCAACTTGGGTCTTCCTGGTAAAAGTCAGGAATCCTAATTATTACTTATGGATTATTATTATTTATAATTCCCTTGAGTTTCGAGTGGAACATAGGGCTTCAACAAAACATCTCCACTTTGTTCTGTTTTCTGCCGTGCTCTTCAGCTTGGACCATGGATTGCACACAATCACTCATCTCCTCCTCGCCACACCATCTCCTCCATGTCACCCTCGCACCGACTACCCAAGTATCGCTTCCCATTCGGATTCCACTCGGATACTGGCCTGGTGTGCGATGTCTTTCGACGGCCTCCTTAATGTATACCCGATCCGTCTCCATTTTCTCTTATATATTTGTTTGATTATTGCTTAATAGAGTGTGATCGATATGATAAGCGATAATTAACAAGGCATTCAACTATGAAGGTAAATGTGTTTTCACTAAATTCCTTTGTCTATGAAAATGGTCTACCAAAATCATTACATATTAGATTCATCTGTATTGCTAAAGCTTTGGAGCTTGGAACAGGAATGCCAGACCTTATCATGGTCCTAACACGTCTAAGTTAAATTTTTAAAGTTCTTTTTCTACATCGGCTCTATTTCTTTTTCGTTTTGTTTACTAAATCTTTATATCCATATCCAATTATCCGGTTATTGTTGTCTTCCTCTGAACAATTCCCAGTATTGTAGCACTTCTTGCCCATTATTTATTCAATTATGACGTTCTTTTGCACTGTTATCGTTTCATAGTTCTTACCTTCTTGCGTAATGTTTTGATTTTCTAATTGTCTGCAACTCTTTCAATGATTTAAGCATTCCGTGACTTATTTTATAAATTACGCAAGTCATTTTGTTGCGTGAATCTGAATTTATTTATGTTTCATGGAGCCTATAAACACTCTGATTTCATATCAATGTTTATTTATTAGGTTTTGTGATCACTTTTGAATGAAAATGAACACTAACATTTAATAAATGGGCAAAATAAGAAATACGATGAAATTAACTATCGATTTGCTACATAAAAATATTATCAAGATATTTAAGTAAATTAAGACTGGAGCGTTAGAATTTCAGCTTTAGTAATCAGTTATAAGACCAACTGGCTTAACAAAATGCTTTAAAATTACAAATGCCTCCATGAAGTATTTGACTCTTTCTATGTGAAGTTAGTTGGTTAACACCATGAGTATTCATTTGAAGGAATAGGAATTAGATCTTATTATTTCTAAACATTCTTATAAGATTTTATAAATTCCATGAACTGTTTTAAAAATTACATACGCCTATTTTGACACCTGCTGATAACTATCACTATAGTCACAAATATTTTGTCTCATTTCATATTATTACTTCAAAAATGTCATATATATATATATATATATATATATATATATATATATATATATATATATATATATATATATATATATATATTGAAGTATGCGCTGAAGATGTCACCCAGTAGGGTGATGAATGCTTCGCAAATTAACTATCCAACTCAGAGAACACAACCACATCAAAATATATAAATATAAAATATATATATATATAAACCAGAAACAATGCTGGTAAAGTGGAAAGGTTGGGTATGAGGCTAGCAACCCCATCCTGTAAAATAAACACTGCTACAGAAACTTCAAGTCACTAGCTTGAAGCCCTATGTTCCACTGGGAACGTGAAGGAAAAAAGGGTAGATTAATAAGTGAAACAGCTTACAACCCTTTGGATTACATTAGGTGAAAAATTGTCATTTTCCTATTTAAGTTTGAAATATTACCGATGTTTTAGGTGATTTTAACCGAATCTTTTCAACGAACTTCAATTTCATTCAAGTATTGGTTTTGTAGGGATTTTGTTTGACTGGTTACAAGATTTCATCATGAGCTGATATCGACTATAGAACCATTAAAAAGCCAGGGAGTACTGGACAGCTGTTTCGTCCTTTCCGGTTCATGACTCTTCAGAAGTATACACCCGCCGAAGGAGTTCGAGTCCAGGACATTCCGGTAACAAGGCAAGCTAGCTCGTAGACCATTAAGCCACTGGGACCCTATCCAATGACCAGTGCATGAATTCTAACTTTTGCCAATTCACGACTTCAATTTATCAGAAGGAATTCTACTATCCATAGTAATCTGCTGAAAAATGAATAGTTATTAAAATGATTCAATTTAATGAATATAAAATTAATAAATCTAATTTGTAATCACCTGATCCTCTCGTCTTTCATTTTCCAGAGAAGATATTTGTCTTTCTAATTGACTTATTTTATCTGCCATTATTTTTCTGTCACGTTCATTTTGTCTTAATGTTTCTTCTTGTAGCATAAGTGCTGTTTGAGTGCTAGATAAACGTCCATCTACTCCTTTTTTATCTATACACCAACAAATGAATTAAAAGTTCGAAAGTTTTCAGTATCTGTGATATTTCATAACAAATTGGTTAGTAAAAAATTAATTAATATCGTTGACTAGCAGTAGAATCCACGATGCGCATTTCGCCCTATTCGGAACTCGTTATCTGAGTGTACCTGCATTCCCCAGTGAGTAATGGTGGTCCCACCGAGGCTCGAACCCAGCGCCCATAGTTTCAAACGCCAAAGCTTAATCCACTGGATCACTTGGGCCACGTCAGCCATTTTTTGTGCAATGCGTCTTATTAAGGAGCCGACATGTCAACCTAAGACAGATCACTTCGGTCCAGTCAGTCGACTGGAAAATCTAAATCGGATTAAATAATTAATTAACATTGGTTGAAAAATACCAGTTGCATGTTCAGATTTCTTTCTCAGACTGTCTGATTCAGTTAAATAACAAAAATAACGGTACGTTGGTGGCACAGCGGTAGAATGCTCGACAACCACGCATGTGGTTCGAGGTTTGATCCCCGGCCGACACACTTTTTTACCTCGCTAAGCCAGTAATAAGACTGGTAAAGAGGGAGGGTTAGACGTGAGGCTAGCAACCCCATTCCGAAAATAAAATAAACACCACTGTTACCGAAACTTCAAGCTTATACCTTGAAGCCCTATGTTCCACTGGGTACGTAAAGGAATAAAATAAGTAATGTTTTGACTAGTTTGATATAACTATTGGATATAGAAATGTAACTCTTGAAATTAAGTGTATTTATCAAAGTGGTATTATCATGGAGTTATTTAAATAAAGGGGAATAAGTGTATTGAGCTATTCCCCTACTAGCTACTATTAATTGAATTACATTCAGTCAACTTCGAAATATCATCAAAGCATTTGTATTAGAAGAATATTTAGGTAAAATTTCACTTGTATATCGTTCTCACAAGAGTCAGGTTTCAGGGCTCATTAACCCAGTAAATAAAGTCTAGATGTTTAAAACTAGAGGCACTAAGTCCGTGTAAACACCACCATTCAGTACAATTTAGGTAAGTTCGATTGTTGAGTCCTGAAAGTGGCGAAGCATACGTCCTGTATTCTAACAAAAATAACACTATTACTTAATTAAACATAACATGAAAAGATATAATTTATTTGTTATATTATGAAGTTCATTCGAATGAATATTCTTCATAAGTATGTCTAACTGAGCGGCTTCAATAAATTATTATTATTGCTCCCTTGGGTTCCTAGTGGAACATACGGCTTCAACTGCACATCTCCACTTGCTTCTGTCTTCCTTCTGCTGTACTTTTCACCTGCATCCATGTTAGTCCATACTATTTCAACTCCTCTTCACATGATCTCCTCCATGTCACCCTTGCACTGATGTCCCACACGCCGCTTCCCTTTCGGGTTCCACTCGAGGGCCTGACGCTCGCATGTCACCCAGCGGCCTTCTCAGAGATTGTCCGATCCATTTCCACTTTCTCCTGCATATTTGTTGGTTGGCGATTGGTTCTTGTTTTGTTTCGAGCCATAGTTTCTTGTTGGTGATTCTTTCCAGCCCGGCCATCTGATCCTCAGTATAGAGCGAAGACAGTTGTTGATAAAGGTCTACAACAGCTGTTGGAAATATTCTTTGTGACCCACCCGCCAAGTTTCTGATCCGTATAGAAGAACTGACTTGACGCTGTTTGTATTGAAAATCAGACTGGATTTTGTTGTTGATGCTGTGAGTGACGAAGATTTCCAGATTGGTTTCAGGTTGATGAATGTGTTTCTCGCCTTCCCGATTCTCGTTTTATTTGACATCCTCGTCTTTTCCGACTGTCTTGTAGTTGAGACAATGCTCCCTAGATAAGTGAATGAAGTAACCTCTTTCAAATCCCTCCCGTTGATGGTGATTGACGCTGAATGTTGCTGTTGTTGTTGTTGGTTGGTTATTTTCATAACCTCCGTCTTGTCTATGTTCACCTGGAGTCCTGTCTTCGCCGGCTGCTTCTTCGACCAGTTTGTCGGTTTTCGCTTGTAAGTCTTCGATTTTGTGTGACATCAAACATAAATCATCCACGCGCGAAATCCAGGTCTTCTAGGTTCTTCACGTCGGTCCAGGATATCCCTGTCTTCTCGTTTCCCACTGTCTGACGCATAATCCAGTCAGTCCACCACAATTAGGAATATCATTGGTGATAATAAGCACCCTTGTCTGACTCCTGTGTTTACTCCAAACGCCTCGCTGAGTTTTCCGTTGTGGATCACTTGACATGTGCCGTTGTCGTACAGCTGTTGAATAAGGTTGATGAATATTTGGGGTACGCCATAGTACTCGAGTAATTTCCAAATTACTTCACGGTCAACGCTGTCGAAGGCCTTCTCAAAGTCTATAAAGTTGAGGTAGAGGTTTGATTGCCATTCCATGCTTTGTTCTGTGATGATGATGCGTAGAGTTGCAATTTGGTCAGTACATGATTTGCCTTTCCTGAATCCAGCTTGTTCTGGTCGGAGTTCTGTCTCCAGTGCGTCCTTTAATCTCTCCAGGATGATGCGACTCAGGATTTTACTTGGCGTCGATAGGAGCATGATTCCTCGCCAGTTCTTGCAGAGTCCTAAGTCGCCCTTCTTTGGTAGTTTCACGAGGTAACCTTTCCTCCAGTCAGTAGGCACCTTTCCCTCCTTCCAGACCTTTTGCAATAATGGAGTCAGCATGTCTGCTGTCGTCTCTGGGTCTGCTTTCAGTGCTTCAGGGGGTATTCCATCTGGTCCGGCTGTTTTTCCAGCTTTCAGAAGCTTGATTGCATTCAAGACTTCAGCTCTCGTTGGAGGATTGGTGTCAACTTGCAGTTGTGTGCGCGCTGTTGTTGGTATTTCTGGACGGGTTGCAGGTGATGGTCGGTTCAAGAGTCCTTTGAAGTGATCCGCCCATTGTTTAATCTGTTTTTCTTCCTTGGTAATTGGGTTCCCTTGGCTGTCTTTTATAGGTTTCGCTTGTGTTGATCTCTTCCCGGATAGAGATTTGGTTATCTGATATAGTGTCCTCAGGTCCCTTTTGCCTGCTGCCTTCTCAGCTTCAGTGGCAGGTTGTCGTAGAATCGTCTTTTGTCCTTCCTAGCACTCTTCTTCACTTCTTTGTCCAGTGCTTTGTAAGTTGAGCTCATCGTCTCCTTCTCCTGTCCGTCCTTGCATTGAATCATTTTCTCTTTCACCATTCTCCTCTCTTCTATTAATTTCCAAGTGTCCGTTGAGAGCCATTCCTTGTCTTGTCTCTTCTTTCTTCCTAGAACCGTTGAACACGTTTCGTTGAGAATCGCCTTCAGAGACTTCCAATGTTCTTCCACGCATGATTCTTCAGTGATGTCGCGTAGTGTTTCCTGCTTTGCTCTGACAGTTGCAGTGAAAGTGTCTTTTGTGGTTGTGTCCTTCAGTAATTGAGTGTTGAACTTGCATTGTGGCCTATCCCCAGCTATCCTCGAGGCTTTTAGTTTCACCTTGAAAGTCCCTTCTACTAGATAGTGGTCTGAACCCACATCTGCTCCTCTCCTTGACCTTGTGTCCAGTAGGCTCCGTCTCCACTTTCTTGAAATTGAGATGAAGTCTATTTGGTTTTTGGTGTTTCCATCTGGTGAAATCCATGTCGTCTTGTGTATATCCTTGTGTTTGAACACACTGCCACCAATCACCAAATCATTGAAGGCGCAGAAGTCTGAGAAGAGTTCACCATTGTCGTTCATTTCACCGAGGGCCTCACGACCCATGGTGAGTTCTCTTCCTGTGTTGTCTCCTCCCAGCTTCGCATTCATGTCGCCCATCAGGATTTTGATATCGCCATTTGGGACGTTGTCCATTATTGCTTGTAGTTGTCTGTAGAACGCCTCCTTCTTCTCTTGTTCTGAGACGTTTGTAGGCGCATAGCATTGAATGACTGTAACTTTCCTTCCTTTTGAGTTGAACCTGGCTGTCATTATCCTGGAGGAGATTGGTTCCCACTGCATGAGAGCTTTGGTTGCTGTTGGTGACATCATGATGGCCACTCCCTCGGTGTGCTCGTGGTTGTCCTCTGGGTGGCCGGAATAGATTACTGTCTCTCCAGTAGGTAGTTGGCACCTTCCAGTTCCGTTCCATCTGCTCTCGCAGATTCCCAACACTTCTATTCTGTACCTTCTCATTTCAGCGGCTATCTGGGCAGCCTTTCCAGTTTCGTACATTGTACGAACATTCCAGGTACCCATCCTTACTTTTGCTTTCATCGAAAGAAGGCACATCGGCTGACTGGCTTCCCGAAGGCTTTCACCAGCCTGCGTCATTTCACTTCCCGATTCCAGCGAAAAGTAAGGCTATTGCTTATGTTTTTAGAATTTTTAATATATTTATTCGTTGAAGTTTCTGTAGCGATTTGGTTGTTTTACAGGGGTGGAGTTGCTAGCACCACGCCCCAACCCTCCCTCTTTACCCGGGCTTGGGACCGGCGAGAAAACTAGTAAGCTAGTAGCCTAGCAAGCTAGTAATCTGGCGAGGTTCATTTTATATATTTGCTTAAGTAAAGCAAAGTAGACACTTCTAATACCAAACTAATTGAAATAACCCTCTTAGTTTAATAGAATTACTAATATCTACAACAACAATTAGATATTGTTAGATATTCAGCTGTGGGTTTAGGTATGGTAAGTTGAGAGAAGCAGTACAGTTAAGAAACAATATATTGATGAACATTCTGTTCCCTACTCGCCTAACCAGATCTAGTATTCAAATGGGATTAATGATAATAACAAGGAAAGCGGATAAAGGTAGATGGAGAAATGTAGTAAAACTGCAGTGAACAATGTTTCCAATCAACTTCTAAATGCATTGAGTTAGAAAATAATTCCATTATCAGTTTCTAAAAAATTACAGGTTGTTATTTCACACGTGGGTGAACATAGGGAAGATAGCGGAGATGAAGACACGCTACCTGACCACCAACAACAAACACCAGTCACCACCAGTGGGGGAAATCTAGAGGAATTCTACTGTTCCACTTACTTGGCATACATGAGGATATCAAAATCAAACAGGATCGTATAGGGAAAGCAAGACAGAATTTCATTACTCCGTGATAGATATGGAGATCCACATCACTCAATACACCAAACGAACTCCGAATTTTGAACACTTATATCCACTCATTGCTTTTATATGGTACAGACAGTTAGCACATATATCATATAAATCATTTCGAACAGGTTACAGAATTTCACCAACAGCTGCCTTCTCTTGCTTCATACTGAAGATCAGATGGCCGGCTGGTCAAAAAGGATGAGCGATAAAGGTCTGTGACAGGCAATGAACCAATCAAGAATCAATAGCCCAACAAACATGACGACAGAGATGGAGATGTATTAGACTTATGCTGAGGAGACCGTTGAGTAACATCATCCCTTAGTCATCTGAATGGTAACCAAATGAGGAGAAATGAAGAGTGACATGGAGAAGGTCATTCGTGGAGGAAATCAAGGCTAGTGGACACTCGTTAAGCCATCTAAAATGAAAGCAGATAACTGGAGACAGTGGAAATGTGCTTCTTACTCCCTATGTTCCACTCCTATGACAAAGTAATAGGCAAACTGATATATAACAAATCAGTTACCACGTTTACTTGATGGACGGTGATCATACAGCTGTTTAAATCTTTTTCATAACCATCGACAATGTTTACATGGTTAGAAGTCCGCTACACTTGACAGATTTTGATGATGCTCGGTTATCAACCATACTTGTTGTAAGTGAGTTAATGATACTACTCATTTCCCAGAATGAAGTATGTCGAGCTGAATTCTAACCCTGAACTCATTAGAGTTGAGTATTTGAACCAATGAGCTGAGTCTCCATCTCTGTATGCAAATAAAAGTATAGAGGTCAGGTTTATTGCCATTTCCATGAATAACCTGAACTGATAACTTTTAAATTAAAGCATTCTAAATACCTGCTTCAGCTTCACATAAAGCTTGTTGAAGTTGATGAAGTCGACGTGCCCATTGTTCAGTTTGTTCAGCCTGTTCATTTAATCGAGAATGAAGTGATGTGATTTGTGCTTGTGCATCTTCATAATCTCTTTTAACTGAAGAATATTTTTGTACAAATTCACGTAAAGCTAATCGGACTGCTTCAGGATCTATATCTGATACATTGACTGGTCCATCACCAGGAAGTGGTCTTGTCACATTTGAAGATTTTGAATCCCCTGCTGCATCTGAAACAATATTTATCCATAGAAGATGGTTTGGAATCAATAATACTTTAAACTGCAGGTTAAACATATCTAACATGTATATCAGTACTTCATAAAGCTTAAAGGGTATTGAATGTTTTATTGTCAGTTTGCATAATATTTAATTATTTGACAATGATATCTGGAAATATTTTAAATTTGACAGAATTTGCATTGCATCGTCGAAGGCAACAGTAATATCCCATTTAAGAACGCTGCTCTGTATAAACTATTTTTCCCAAAAGGTTACGTCATATGATAAATCTTTGATATAAAATTTGCTTAAAATGAAATAAATGAATTAGATATGACTACTTCGCCTCGTTTACTGGTTCACTAGTTATCCAGCTGGTCTCAAGCCCGAGAAAAGAGTGCACACTGGGCATAGGGCTACCGACTCTACCCTGTGGAATCAATCCAATCGATACAGAAACTCCAAAACACAACAAAAATAATACATTCTGAGTTGACAGCAACGCGCGTTTTGATTGGTTACTTGTGTCAGTTAGATGGTCAAAGTTTTAGACGGTTCAAGACAATTGTCGGGATGTCCTGGCCATAGGTTTAGTGTCTGTTGTCACTTGTCAGCAGATCGTATCTTCAGCCTCAGAGAAACTCATATCCTTCCACCGGCATTCTAAAGCCTGCCACCCAGTGCTTCAGTCAGACACATTAGCAATGAGTTATTTGGGCCCACGACTGAACTTCTATACGTCTGTAATGGATACGCTAGTTGGTCACAGGGTAGTAACCAATATCGTCTGTCTAGCTCTTAGTGTTGGCGCAGACTAAATTCTGTTGGTTAAGTTCACACTAACATTAATTCAGAATGCTTCATAATGGTGAGCTACTTATCTTGGTGATCATTTTGAAAAATCGATTGATGGAATTCGGTCTACAATCTCCCCTAATGGAGTAGACATATGACACTAGTTATTATCAAGTGAACAATCAATGTAATAGTCACAATATTAGCGTACCTAATAGTGAAGCGTTCAATTTTAGACTACAAACATGACAACAGCACATAATAAGAAGACAAATAAAACTAGGACGTAACTGAATAAGAGCGAGTGTGATGATATGTGTTGGTAGTGTGATACAGACAATGTGTGCCAGCGGAATATTATTCTCACATATTCCCACAGATCCATCCAGCATTAACACAGAATAAGATATATCTATTTGAACATTCTATTAGATGTCAGAGTCAGAATGCTGTTCCCACGGTTATATACTGAATTAATAACAGAATACAATGTATATTTGAACATTCTATTTTATATTATTTGATGTTAACCTAAATCACACTTAGTTATTGGTTAACGAATATAAGCTGTACTTATATAAACAACGCTTTGATTAATGAGAAATATACCTTGGCTTGTGTGTCTTGCCTTCTGTTGTTACAGATATGGTGAACGATTTATTATTATTATTATTGTTACCTTGGTTTCCTAGTGGAACATAGGGCTTCAACTGCACATCTCCACTTGCTTCTGTCTTCCTTCTGCTGTACTTTTCACCTCATCCATGTTAGTCCATACTGTTTCAACTCCTCTTCACACGATCTTCTCCATGTCACCCTTGCACTGATGTCCCACTCGTCGCTTGCTTCCCTTTCTGGTTCCACTCGAGAAATGGCCTGACGCTCGCGCTATGTCACCCAGCGGCCACCTCAGAGATTGTCCAATCCATTTCCACTTTCTCCTGCATATTTGTTGGTTGGCGATTGGTTCTTCTTTTGTTTCGCCCCATAGTATCTTGTTTCCGGCCCGGCCATCTGATCTTCAGTATAGAGCGAAGAAAGTTGTTGGTTGATAAAGGTCTGCAACAAGCTGTTAGAAATATTCTTTGTGACCCACCCGCCAAGTTTCTGATCCGATCCGTATAGAAGAACTGATTTGACGCTGTTTGTATTGAAAATCCGACTGAATTTTGTTGTTGATGCTGAGTGACGAAGATTTCCAGATTGGTTTCAGGTTGATCAATGTGTGTTTCTCGCCTTCCCGATTCTCGATTTGACAACCTCATCTGTTCCGACTGTCTTTAGTAGAGACAATGCTCCCTATATAAGTGAATGAAGTAACCTCTTTCAAATCCATTCCGTTGATGGTGATTGACGCTGAATGTTGCTGTTGTTGTTGTTGGTTGGTTATTTTAATAATTTACGTCTTGTCTGTGTTCACTTGGAGTCCTGCCTTCGCCGGCTGCTTCTTCGACCAGTTTGTCAGTCGGTTTTCGCTTGTAAGTCTTCGATTTTGTGTGGTGTGTGTGTGTGGTGAACGATTAGATAAGGTTTATTGGAAGCGCTGTAATTTCAAATATTCAGAATAGGTTAATGTCTACTTTGTACTTATCAATTTTGAGTCCCTTCACAGGAAATCTTTAATTTTTCAGAATATCAACACTATTCAGTTTGCTCTGTTCAAAGCATCATAGATTATTGTCATATCGTGCTAGTAACATCTTAAGATTTTATTTTAACTTAATTCAACAACTGCAAAAGGTTTATGTTTAGGTAGGAAACAGTCTTACCAGATACGTCGTACACGTTCTATCTATTCTAATACTTCGAACTAATTAGATATTTTGCGGCTGGTTTAAATCATTGGACCATCTAATTCCTCACTAAGGAAAAGATATCAAATTTACATAGTTATTACTTTGTTGTAACCACTTACTCACGTTTTTGAAGGAAAATCTCTACTCACATGCAATTTTGAATGGTTTTTAATATACTACTTGGTCTACTTTGAAGCGACAAATACACTGGGGGGTCGGAGCATGTTACAGACAAAACGAACTTAGGTCGAATCATAATATACTAGAGATTACTGTTTTTTTGAAGACTTTGTAAGAGGAGTAGTTAAAACGAAGCTGAAGAATTCTGTACTGTATACAAACATGTTCAGAATAAAGCTATTATTATTATTATCATCATTACTACTATTAACTTTATTGGAGAAATCAACTTTCGTGCCTAATCCTCAAAGTACTATCTGGCATAAAAATGATGTATTTTTTACATAATAGAATGAGGTGTATTGACGCTATGTAACAACAAATCCATTTGCCATATTGACATTTCATTTGTTAGGTTTATGTCATGAACCATAAACACTTAGAGAGATAATAGAAAATCAGGGAGCACTGGACGACTATTCCGTCCTATTTTGTGACTCTTCAACAGTGTGTACTCACAACCTCACCAGGGATAGAACAGGGACTTTAATTTTACGAGATAAAGCTTGTTGACCATTCAGACATTTGAGTCGAAATTCAGTGACCCATGAATTCTATCTTCGTCACTATTCTTTCATCAGTGTCTTCGGTGGGTATCCATTTCACCTCGACATAATGGACTCAGAAATCCCCTGGTTTCAAACTCTCTCTCTCTCTGAACAGTTTTGATTTGTGATGAAAATTTTACATCTGGAGTTAATCTGTAATTCTCACAAAACCTATAATCTGAATATCAGTCACCAGCATACTGATGGCTACTTGATGGATTTTCAAAAGTTGCAGTAGGAAGTCATAACCAGGGGAGTCCATCGTGTCAGGTTGAAATGTATGCTCATCGAAGGCATTAATGAGGGCACTGTTGTGTCACCAAGTGACTGAATAGTCAGAGAGCTTGATCACGTAACCTGAAGGTCTCATGGTCGGTCCCTGTTGGGGTCATGAGCGCGCACTGATGAAGAATCTCAAAGTGGGACGAAACAGCGTCTCCTGGTTTCCAGTGACTTTGGAGTAACACTAGTAATGAACGTTGACTAAATGAACTGTGTGTAGGTGAATTATGGTAAGGATAGTTGTTACTTTATACTTATATAATATTCATATTAGAATATTCAGAATACGTAATGATTTGAAAAACAGTACTCACCTTTCACAGGAGAAGCATCTCGACTATTGTCAGGACTTACTCCACTTCTCAATCGACGAACTGGAGAAATAGATGTTGAATCTCTGAGTCTTGATGGTGTTTTTGATCGATGACGACCTTGATTAAAACCTATAAGTCTACGCAATGAACTGTGTATACATGCTAATTTGAATTCTAAATCTCTTCTTATAGATTCACTTCTTGACAATTGAGCTTCTAAAGTTCCTACCCGGCCTTCAGCATCACTTAAAGCCAATCGAACTTCTGCCAAATCGTTGTTCAGTGTTTCAGCGGCTGCCTCTAGGTGATTTCTTGTATCAGTTAAACGACGATATTCGCAATTTGCATGATCTGCTGCTTGTTTATATTCACGTTCTCTGCTAGACAATAATTCTTGTAGATCACATATTCTTCTTTCACTAGTAGCCAATTCCTTGCGTAGTTTAGAACTGTGATAGATAAATATTTATCGGATTTTAAAAATGATTTTATTTTACAGTGAAAAAATTGTAATAAACTAAACTTTTGACCATAAAATAACCTCCCCTGGTATTTATATTGCCTAAAATGATTGCATACAGAAACATTTATAAATTCTGAAGAATATGATATCTTATAGATACTGGGAGATTCTAAAAGTTCTTTAAATAAACCACAGTAGTACTAATTTATTTTTAGATTAATTTAAATGGAACTTGAATGAGAAGAGACGAGTTCGATGTGGGGTCTGAAGGTGATATGAAGAATATTTCGAGAGGAAATAAAAGCTTGTGGATCGTGAGCTGATTATGTTAGACCTGAATGCTGCGTATCCGCTGACGAGTTGGCTCCTGGTACAGACACCTAAGTGATGTCTGACGTTTAACGTGATGTTTTTTTAGTTAGTCGTAATTGTCAGCAGAATCCAGAATGCACCTACATCCTCAGTCAATAATAGTGTTCTTACTGAGACTCGAACGCAGCACCCATCGTTTAGAACTCCAAGCAGCCTAACAGAAAAAGGATTGAGGTTTGGACCTATGGGTACAGAGTGCGTGAATAAGTGGGAAAATAATCACTCACTAGGGTTGCAGGCACATCTAGCTGAGGAGTTCCAAATAGGCCAAAATATGTATTGTGAATTCCTCTACAACTTACCGTCAGTGACTAATCGGGCTCCTCTGCAAAAGCCCTGGACGTTAATTTCGTACTTTGTGAATGAAAAAAAAGAAATCGAATTAACTCATAAATTATTCATAATGTTCCAGTGAAAAGTACATCACGATGGTTGATAGGTGCACTACTTTTCTATGGCCCTTATCGTAATCTTTCATTCCTGTTTATTGGTGCAGTATATTTTTTAATGGTTAACTTGAGCATTAATCTTTTCCACTTGCACACTTCTTAGAAAAGTATCTTTGATGTCTCTCATTTGCTTGTTATTCTTGATATTTATCTGATGTGGAGTAGTTTGTAGTCCATTCTAAACATAATTATGTAGCGAAGTCATATTATTTGATTACATATGTTTATATAGATAGTCTCTAGTGTCGTTCGTCATCATTTGTGAAGATGTGGTAATTTAGCAAACTTTGATATCAGCTTAAATTTAGGATTAAGTGTCATTGAATTTAGCAGTAAGAAGGGTGGTTGAAAAGTTTTTATTTTTACGAGTTGATCACGGATTGATATCATTTAGAGAATCACTGAAAACCAGGGGGTACTGGACAGCTGTCTTATCCTTCTAGTTCGGGAATCGTCGGCAGTACGCACCCACTGCCAGGGTTCGAACCCAGGACCGTCTGATTACAAGGCAAGCTCATATACCATTCAGCCACTGGGACCAGATTGAATGGCTCATGAATTCTAACTTCTACTCATTCGTGATTTAGTGCGACCCCAACCATTGTCGTCGGTGGGACATCCATCCTCACACATGACGTCTGGATGGACTTCACTGGTCACGACCTCTCACTAGAACTCCAGGAAACTCCATCCTGTAGCAAGTCACTAGCGTGCATCAGATTAACCCTTGCAAACCAAACTATAGAAAAGTTTTAATTGTTTATTCTTACCGACAGGCATCAATTTCACCATTGCGTTGTTTCAATATGGAATTCTCTTGCCTCAACTCTTCATTCTTTTCTTCTTCACGTGTTATTCGTGATTGCATTTCTAAAAGTTCTTTAGCTTGTCTTTCACGATCTGACTGAACATCTTTAAGCTGACGTCTAACCTCTTGAAGATCACGACGAACGTCAAGACGAGCTTTTTCACTTTCACGAACACTTGCTCGCAATTCGCCAATTTCTTTACTATCTGAACATTTTTGTTCTTCAAAATCTAAAAGAGAAATGGTATGGTGATTTTTTTGTTTTTGTTTTTCTAACAGGCGGGAAATGTAGAGCAACTTTGTATTTTACTTGGAAATGTGTATTTTGAAATACAACTTCATTTGTTTTCGCTTTATGGAACACTTTTCACTTTGTCTGTAATTTTTCTCATACCTACAATTTGTACCTTATAGTAATAATAACTTATGAAGCTGTATACCTTCAGTATATAACCAACCATCAGTAGTGTGAGAAAAGATCATCTTAGATTGTATTTAATGTTAAAGTAATCATCTTGATTTCCAATTCAGTCAAATTGTATGAGAAAAGTGTAGTTTTATGAAACCATGGGAATAGATTAAAGCAGACTTTGAAAATATGTAAAATAAGCGTGAAATGTATCACTACCCTGGAATTTCTACTGTTATATAAAACTGTATCCAATGTAATTAATTATTTCCGAAGCTGATAGCCTTCACTGAAGTGAATAATGCCCACAAACTTTTTGTATAAATTTTAGATTAAATCGGATTACATAACATTTTAGGCCATGTTAAACCTTGTCTAGTTTAGTAGCCAGTAGTAAATTCGAAAAGGAGGGAAGTTCGGCGTTCATGCTAGCGACTCTATCCTGTAAGATACCATTGCTGAAACCGCAAAACCTGAAGTCCTATATTTTACTGCCAGAGCAAGGAACTGACTTCAGTTAGCGAAGTGTCAGAAATTAGCAACTACTAGATATCTGTTTCGTCCAACTTTGAGATTCTTCAGCAGGACACGTCCATGGCTCCACCGCCAGGGAGTAGACCCGGGATCTTCAGGTTACAAGGCGAGCTCGTTGACTGTTCAGCCACTGAGATGGAGTCCAGTGGTCTATGAGTCCTAACTTCTGTCATTTTAGGATCTCAAGTTAAAATATGATAGATACATATACATACACATTTAAGATAGCTGAATGCCTTCATGATACCAGTTAACAACAGTGAAAGAATGACGGTTTCTTAGGTGATTCCCCTTGATCTCAAATAATAGTGCAGAAGACCTACCCACTAGTACTGGGGTATGAGTTTTCAGTCGAATAAGAGAGAGATAAATATATTATAATAGAAATTCAAATGTTATCTTAGAAACTAGTCATTTAGCAGCATGGGCCTAGTCGTTTGAATCAACTGACGTGGTAGGATTTGACATTTTGTTTTCTCTAATTAATGGAGAGATAATCAGGATTTATACGTCTCTGAGATTTGATTGATAAACAATTGAGCTATTCCCTAATTGTGCATAATTATACAAAAATGTGTATATCGATGGTTCAGCGGTAGGATGCTCACCAATCACGCCCATGGTTCGGGGTTCAGTAACTGGCCAACGGACTTCTAAACCTCAATCAGCTGGTGTTAAGGTCAGTTAAGGTGCGTCGGTGGCATAGCGGTTAGGACGCTCGCCGACCATGCATATGGTCCGGGGTTCGACCCCCGGCCCACGCACTCCTTTACCTCACTGAGCCAGGAATAATGCTGGTAAAGAGGAAAGGTTGAGCATGTGGCTAGCAACCCCATCCTGTAAAATTAAAAACACTGGTATAGAAACTTCAAGCCTCTAGCTTGAAGCCCTATGTTCCATTGGGGAACGTGAAAGAAAAAATAGGTCAGTTAAAAGAGAAAGTTGAGTGTGAGGTTAGTAACCCCACCTTGAAAAGAAAACCCACTTCTACCTTTTGATATCACATAAAAACCTACCAGAGATTTGTTGTTGTTGATCACTAAGTATTCTATTCTGTTCAACACGTTCACTTTCAAGCGACTGAACTCTTTTGAGTAGATTCTCTTTAGCTTCTTCTTTATTATCTCGATCACGTTGTGTTTCAGCTAGTGTTCTACGTAAATCAATGATTTCTTTACGTAGTGTTTCTCTAGCTTCATCAGTTTCTTTTAATCGACGTGATACTTCACTGATATTTTTCTGTAAACCATCTCTTACTTCTTCAAGAAGATTGATTTGCATTTTTAATTCATTGACTTCATTTCTTGCCACATCTCTTTCTGCAGTTAATTGAGCTGATTTGACTTGAACATTTTTTAGTGTTTGTTCATGAAGTGCACTAAGAGAGGATAATTGTGTTTAAGAAAGCAAAATAATAAACATACAAGAAAGATAATTGCATAGAATTAAAGGAGAAGGAAGAAATAAGAGTGATTTTCAAATTTCTATTGAATTTTAATTTGTCTTGTTTTGATTTTGCAGTAGGACTGTTTAATTTTTATGCAAAGTTAAATGAGTCACACACACACACACACTTACAGTCAAACGCAGTTAAGTTTAGAAAGAGGGCTAATGAACTTACAATTCTTTCATTGCATCTTACATACATAAATATGTCAATCTTTCTTACTGTTCTTATTATTTCAGTTTTACGTTTATAATAGGTATTACATATACTGTTATTCAAAACTATTGTTTTGTTTTTTTTCATTACGAAATTATGTATTTAAGAACAACTGTTATGTAACAAGGATTTAGATTGAGTTATTGAATAGTTTTATGTGTTAAAGAAGCATTCATGGCTTATGTGAATACAATGTTTAGGTTATACTGCTTAATATTTTCACTTGGACTACTCTTTTGAGTAGTCATTTCAATAACTTTACTTATGGGCCACAAAATAATTAACTATTACACTGTATTAATATGCACAAACTGGAAGATATGCAAGTGAAAAGCAACAAGCTGGCAGAAGAAGCATCCAGAGAAGATAGGACTTCAGGTGAACATCGATAAAACAGAGGTGATGAAGATTCCTGGCCAACATCAACAGCAGCAACAACAACAGACAACAATCAGCCAGCATAAATGGGAGGAACCTGAAAGAAACAACCTCCTTTACCTACCCACCTACCTGGGAAGCATCGTTTCAACTACAGGCAGACGGAACTGACGAGGATATCAAAGCCAGAGTCTGAAAATCAAGACAAGCTTTCATTACTCCAATGTGAAGTCAGTGCTACTATAGGGATGGATCAGAGACTTGGCCAGCGCGTCATAAAGAGCATCTCAAGCAAAATTCAGACCTTCATTAACAGTTGTCTTCGCTCAATACTCAAGATCAGATGGTCAGACAGAAAAGATCAGAAACAGGGATCTCTCTCAATAAGCGGACAAACCAAGAACCGATTGTGAAACAAATAGGCAGGAAGAAATGGAGATGGATTGGCTGGCCATACTCTGAGGAAACCATCAAGTGAGTGACATCACTAGACAAGCAATTGCTTGAGTGGAACCCGATAGGGAAGCGGCGAGTTGGTCGTCAGTGCAAGGGTGGGTTGACTTGGAGGAGGCGGTGATGTGAAGAGGAGATGAAAGCATGTGGGCAGACTTGGAGCGGGGTGAAAAAGGCAATGTAGACGCGCAGCTGAAGCCCTATGTTCCTCTAGGAATTAAAGGATATAATAATAATAATATGAGTGTAAAACTTGGGCACTGTGGTAGTAAGTAATTCCATATTAGTTTGTTTACTAGATGTATCACCTTGAAACTTAATAATTTCCCTGATAATTTAGTCAGAAAGTATGTATGTATGTGAAAATAAAATAAATAATGATAGTGATAATAATAATAATAATATTAATGACGACATGCATGTAAAATATATGCAAGGCAACACCAACAATAAGGAATCTAAATCATCAGTAGTAATTCCATACAAGGAAGGAACCTCGGAAACCTTACTGCTGTGAATTCTTAACAAGGCAAGAATAAAGGTGGCTGGCATTCAAACCAACCACAAACTCAATTAGAAACAAGCTTTGTCGGTTAAAGGATACTGTGGAGCCTTTAAAACAAAACCATTTAGTTCACCTAATACCCTACCTACAATGATTGTCAGGTCAAATACATAGGTCAAACTAGTAGAACAGGGGCAGTCAGACTAGCTGAACATAAAAACCTAGCAAAATCTAGATTAGTTGTTCCGAATAAGATAAGAAATCTAGAGAATAGTTCAGCTATACCATTCACTACATGCAATTACATACAACCATACAATAGGATGGATGGGATAAGATGACAGGTTTAAAATCTAATGTCATAGAGTATAGGAAGAGACTGATAAAAGGCTTTGCTTATCGAATGAACCTCAAATACATGTAATAGGAATGATTCAACGCCTGTCCAGCCGGGTATCTGGAAAATTCTACTACCCCAAAGACGACAAATAGCACAATGTCAGTCTTCTTAGTTATTATAATGCTACTTTGTTTGTTTTATCCATCCCCCTGTTTATTATGGCATTCTAATTCCCAATTTTAATTTTTATTAATTTGACCCTTGACCGGATATTATTCTGGAACTTTCCCATCCATTTGATATAAATACACGAATGTACAGCCTAGATGATGACTTCGTCGAAAAGAAAATAGGAGAGGACAAATAAAAGTATAAAACTGAAGTTTCGAAGTCGTGTGATTACAATTGATATGAATGTGAACAATAAATTTTGTTCGAAACTGTGTCATCCAGTAATTAATACTGTTTCCCTCTGTTTGATACATCTAATTAACAAACTAATATGGTGTTACACTATACTTTTGGATAAATGTTACCAAAGTTTTCTGCATTCTCCATATTCGATATGTATAATTCAAGACTTCTACTTCTAACTGAGTAAAATGGAGAGATTAGGAAGAAATATCATCGGTTTTGGATCCAGGATCTTCTGATTACAAGGTAGGCTTTTAGGCCATTCAGTCACTGGAAGCTGATCCCGTAGTGTATGAATTCGAGCTTATAATAATATGTGAAATATGTATACGTATATATATGTATAGCGCGACGCCAGCCAATATCATCGGAGAATAACTGTCTTCTTGACTGACTTCCTAGACTCCACTGGCTAAAACTTCTCACTGAATATCGTGAATTGGCAGAAGTTGGAATTCATCGACCATTGGAGCGCGTTGCGGTGACTGAATGGCCTACAAGCTAGCCTTGTAACTGGAAGGCTCTGACTTTGAACCCCGATGAGTTCGTTCTGATGAACGGAATAACTGTTTAGTGCTCCCTAGTTTTCAAACGGTTTTCTAACTGATGTCGTCTCGAAATCAATCCTGTGACCAATTAAAGCCCTGGAAACCAACACTTGATACCCATGGGTTTTAATAAGTTTGATAAAATGCTGGAAACATGGTTTAGTTCTCTAGGTAGTGGATAGTCACTCAAATCACGGAAGCCACATCAGCTTTTAACTCCTGAAGAATAGGAAACCTAACTTTTTATATTAGATGTAATCCATTATAAAATAAGTAATCTTATAGACTGAATTACAAAATCTCGGTTTTATCCATTACAGTTGATTTTTCAAAATAAAAACGTTAAGACTTAGGATAATTTCATTGGTTATGAGTCTTTAATGTCTAATATGTGACCAAAAGTCAATAACCAATCAGTAGAATAATAGCTGTGTTTGACATTGCTTATTATTTTGTGAGAAACCAGGCCTGAGATAAGAGTGATCTTATGTGTCTGAAAACGTTTTCATTTCAATATTTTAAGTTTGTTTAACAAAGTAAATAAAGTACTCCAAGAGCGTCATGAAAAGCGTTTCCAACAGGCTGCAAAAGTCCATCAACAACTGCCTTTGCTTCATATTAAAAATCAGATAGCCAACCACAAATGATAAGCTGCAGTGGACTTTGACAGGCAAAGAGCCAACCAAGAACCTATGGCCCAACATGTATACCGAAGAAAATGGAGGTGAGTTGAACATACTCTGAAGAGATCGTTGAGCACCACTGCACAGTCCACGTCCTCAAGTGGAACTCAGATGGGAAATGGAGAGTTGGACGTGAATAGGAGGGTATATCATGGACTAGACTATGTGAGGAGTGAATAAGAGCTTACGAACAATCATATAACCGGCTGAAACGGGCCCCAAAGAACAGAATCAAGCGACGATGTGCTCATGAATTCTTATGTTCTACTCCGAATCAATCGTTTAAAATTTCCTACTTACAGTCTGACTTATGGTTTGTATACATTGCTTCATATTATTGGGCTACAATAAAGGAGAACCACGATTTAAATAATCTTACGATGACGCATTTCTACTTTTTAGCTGAATAGAAAGCATTAAAGCCATGAGAGGGTTTACCTTGTTTGAGATTCTCTCCAAACATTTAGCGAAATATGAAATATTAACCAATATCATATTGATTTATCGTATTCTCTAAGTGCATGCATACCCTCATATTTATTAGATTACTGTGATTAACAAAGTTTTCATCCGAAATTAGAACATCCGGTGGTTTGAACTGATTCGGTTCTGTGAGCTGAGTCACATCGGGTACACCGCTGATAAGCTTAGCCAAAAACGAGCAAAATGGCCGTCCGGTGTTTAGATCCCCTCAGTGTGGTTAGCAAGTACTACTGGTTCTTCTCCACCAGTCAGTAGTATATAGTTCTGCGAAATTTAAAAAACCTATCATTCACATAAAACGATAGTTTGTAACGCTAAATTGATAAGGAAAATCTGATGAAGTCCAGAGCATTAATTATTTCTATTTTACGGAATTCGTTATACTATTTTTGATCTTTTTAACTCTTTGGGCTTTGAGTGAAATGTAGACCTCCAAGCTTGGAAGTTTCAGTAGGCTATGGCATTGTTCTTAAGTTTCCTAGCGTTACTGCCAACCTTCTTTTTTGCTTTAGGCGAGTAGATTAGGTGGTGTATAAGAGTTCATCTGCCTGTAATCAAAGCCAGGCCAATTCACACACACACACACATCCAGAACGTTGAATGATGAATTCTAATGTAACCAAGACAGTACATTAACTTACCATGTCTCTTCATAGTGTTGACGGAATTCTTTAAGTTCTCGTGTCAAATCAGCTTTAGCAATATCATCTCGTTCATGTCGTACTGATGCTTCACGTTTATTTCTTTCCATTTCAGATTCTAATGTTTTAATTTGTTGTACAGCAGTATTCAAGCGTTCATTTAATGAAACTCTTTCTTGTTCATTGAAAGATAATAAATTTTGTTTTTCTGCTTCATAGGCCAAAGTTACTTCATCTCTTTCACGTTGAAGTTTCATAATCTGTGAATTCATGAAAAATGAAGGAATATTTATTGTTTCAAAATATTTACATTATTACTGTTATCAAGGGGAGAAATTTACAAGAGGTCGCCTTTTTCTCTGATTTAGGCAGCATTATTTCAACTACAGACAGCACAAGTGGAGATTTTAAAGGCAGCGTAAGAAAAGCAAGACACACCTTCATTAATCTGAAATCAGCATGGAGAACAAGGTCAAGATCTGCAACACTGATATCAAGTCAATGCTTCTATATAGTTTAGAGACTTGGCGCTTTATCGAATGTATTCTGAATAAGCTGACGACTTTTATCAACCGTTGCCTCCTCCACTTGATACTGAAGACCAGACAGCTGGTCAGAAATAATAAGTAGCAATCAACTCTGGCAGTCTTCAAACCAACCATAAAATTATCGTCCAACAAATAATTAGAAGGAAATTCAGTTGGATTGGACACACTCTCAGTAGACCGTCGAATAACATTACACTGCAGGCCATCAAGTGGAACTTGAATGGGAAACGATGTGTCTGAAGTCAAACAGTGGGGAAATGAAAGCTTCTAAAGAACCATAGAGTCATTGTATGCAGACTTTTGAGAACAGAGGGAAGTGGAAATGTACTACTGGAGCTGTGTATACAACTTGGAAACCAAGGGAATAGTAATAATGAAAAAATAAGTAGTAGGTTCAAATTAGCGAAAAACTTCATTATCGTATTTCGGCACGATATGATTCAAAAGACTTTAAACAATTTTCCAGACTTTATGAGTCAAAACAGATGTCTGTGTTTCTTGAAATATAGTGATCCGTTATTCATTTAAAAAAGGGGTTGTTGGTATTGAAATTGATCCAAGTCCATATAAAGTTAATAATCTAAATATCAATATTACTAGCTGAATGCCCTAAAGCTGCAGTAAGTTGTCACCTTTGGGGTCGCTGTGTTAAGTCAAAATGGCTGTTCATCGAGGGCGTCAGTCAAGGTGACCTCTGTATTACGAATTTACACTGGGTCCCTGCCCAAGTGGCTGATTGCTCATGAATTCGGTTTCGTAACCTTAAGGAGCCGAGTCGTGCGTGCGCAGCGCTTAAGAGTCCCAAATTAGGATGAAGTAACTGTCCAGTGCTCCCTGATATCTTACAAATGAAATAAGTTAACCGAGATCACCATAAATCCCATAATTTACGGAATTAGTAGCCCATATTCACATATGATAATCATGTATCTAATGCAGAAAAATAAATAACGGTAAAATTAAACTTTAGCCACCGAAGAGGCGTGAATGCACCAATGACCTTGGAAAGAGCAGTAGCACTGAAAAGCAGATTTAGTCTTCTAAACCTAACCCTAGTCCTAATCTGCCTTTAACCTAAACCTAACTCGAAACTATCTCTAACCTAACCTTAGTCTATCTCAAACCAATCCTAATAACTCACTAATTAGATTAACCTAACCCGAACCTGTCTTATGACCTAAAATTTACCGGATATCCCGTTTAATATCATAACACTTCATTCAGCACCTTTTATTCATGATTACAGTATCATTTATCCGGTTTCACTGATTTGCTGACTGAGTATTCCAAGGTCACTGGTGCGTTCACGCCTCTTCAGCGTCTAAAATTTAACTTCACCGAAATAACTATTTAGGAAGTGACTATTTAGCTTCATTTTTCATGAGATTAAAAGTATGAGATCTGAAAAGTTTGTAATACAACATCTTCTATTCAAAGTTTAACTTGTATTACAGACTAGTATCCTCAGTCTAACTAAATATTTATCTGTTATTTGAAGAAACAAAACTGAACAGAAATTTTCCCCAACTTTTGATTAAATTATTATTTCCAAACTTTATCGCTTGTCTTGATAAGAAATAAAGGAATTCTTTTTTAAACGCTGCATACACTTTCATCTTTTTACATATTTTATTTAAAGTAAAGGAAATGCTTTTTTTTAGTAAAACAATTTGTCAGCTGTCATCAAAGAAAGTATAGTAATGAAAATAAACAAAACCCCGCCAGATAAATGATGGATACATTGGAAATTCTATTGTTTATAACATTTTTTTTCGTCTCCTTTCTGTTTGTGCTGTGCTTATGATAATCCGATAACCCAATGACTCATAAAAGAAATTGTGTTCAGGATTGTTTAAAAGAGACGAGACATACTATAGCACTCTGGTACTGAGAGAATGGAGGAGAAATGCCTACTGACTGTCTTCAAAAAGAATGGATATCCTCAAAATTTCATCAAAAAGTGTTTAAACTCAAGTCATAACACCAACAACAAGCTAACATCAAAGACTTATACGAAAATTCATCCTACCATATATAAAAAATCTCTTTGAAATGACAGTTGGAATATTAGGACTGCTTGAAGTAAATATAACACATACATTAGAACAATCAATTCATTCTATATTGTCCAAGACAAAAGAGCCAACAGAAAAAGAAGATTAGATCAATACCACCAATCACGTGAAGGAGCCATTTTTGTGTGTGGAATACATTTATTTATGTAAAAAATTGCATAAAAACTGTATTAAAGTGATGCAGGGGATACGTTCCTCTTACATGTGATAATAATAGCTCTCGGTTTTAGGTTGGAGTGTCAACAGAGTATAATTCCATTGCGGGTAAAATTTATTTTGATAAAGTCTCAAAGTGTAATACAGTAATATTTACTGAGGAAAAAATTGTGCTCGAAACGTTGTCATCAGTAAATATTACTGTATAACACTATGAGACTTTATCAAAATAAATGTTACCCACGATGGGATTATACTCTAACACAGCGCACAAGCACTATTCTTATATCAACAGAATAATTAAACCCCATTCTGTGCATGTAATTATTTAGGTCTTATAAACCTAACAATAACCCTAACGTGAAAATATCTCTAAACTAACTGTAATCTAACTCGAACCAACCCTAATATTGGTTTTATAAGGTTAATCTAAACCTAACTTGTCCTTGGCTTATAGAGTAATTTAATCCTTCACAAACTTAAGCTGAAACTTGCTAGATATCCCACTAAATAGCATAGCACTGCGCCGAGGATGTTTTATTGATGATGATAACATAATTTACCAGGTTTTACTAATTTGCTCAGTGAGCGTTTCAATCTCATAGGTGTGGTCGCACTCCATTGGTATTCAGTGGCGCTTGAAGTTTAACTTGGCCATGATATGTATTCTCCCATTTCTATGCATATTGATAATTACGGACACCAGTTTGATTAGGATAATGTAGAAATATTAAATAGAAGAAACACCAAGAATGTCATGGAATTTCTAGTAGCCTGATACTCAAGTATTAGCAATTAAACAAACACATTGCAACAGACCAAATCTACTAACTATTAGACAATGAGTCACATCAGAAGCAAGTTCAAATTCCAAGTCAATAGAAATGATCAATGTAAACTGACAACCAATCACAACAACGTTTGTCAGGAGATCCAATTATATCATTCATGGCGAATTCAAATAAGTTCATCTGATACAAAGACTTCCCCTGATTATGTTGTCTGGAAGGACAACGAATGCTTTGTAATCAAATCAACTAGCTCAGAGAACACGGCTGAATCAGAATTAGTGTAATATTGATATTGTATTGCTTTAAATTTGTAAAGTGTACTGGACAAATATACACAGTAGGAAAACACAGCAGTTTGTAACGTAATTATATGTAAAACACTTATTTAATATCACTAGTGATTCCCATTTATGGATAGATTATTTTACCATAACTTCATCAGTTAATTTGATCTCTGAAATTAACTAAAATTATTCAAAATTTCGTAAATTATTCCATAAAGTTTTACTTCTTATTTAATTCAATTTAGATTTTCCTGTCGATTGATTGGACCGAAGTGCTCGATTTCAGGTTGACATATCGGCTCCTTCTGAAGATGCTTCAACGATGTATGGTCATGTTACCTGTATCCAAACAATCGATGGGAAAATCTAAATTGAATTAAATGATTAACAAGACCCGTTTCACAAGAGGTGGCTGTCGTGACCCAAGTGGTCTAGTGGACAGCGCTTTGGCGTTTGAAACTATGATCACTAGGTTCGAGCCTCAGTGGGAACACCATAACTTACTGGCGAATGCAGGTACATTAGGTTGAGGAGTCCCAAATAGGACGAAGTGTGCATCTTGGATCCCACTGCTAGTCACCATCAGCCAACTGACTTCAAGTTTTACTTCTGTTCATGTAAAGATAATCTTGAGAATACACAGTTATTACATTCGTAAAGATCAAAGGCTTAGCTTATGCTTAGTACAACTTTTCAAAGTATTGAATTTATTTGTGTTTCGTGTTTGAGGATATAAGCGTATTTTGTTTTTACGCTACTTACTACATTAGGTAGTATGTGGTGTGAGCTACTGACAAGATTTATAAGTAGTATAAAGACACAGATATAAATAAATATGTGTATTATCTGTAAGAATATCGAATAGCGGAGAGACGGATTCAACGGCGAAGAGAGGAAATGAACAATGTTTTTGAGACAATATAGAAAACATGAAAGGAAAACAAAGAAGCAAAACAGCGACAAAACGTATGCAGATTGTCATTTTAATATATAACAGACGTATTATGCCTATTTCTGTACATCCGGTCGCTAGTAAATAAGTCCGTGGTTGAAATCTGTTGTTTACTGGCGTTACATTATAACTATTGAGTTTCCCCGTATACATAATGCAGTCACTCTTTGTTTATTTCTGACTAATATGGTAAAACACAACCTTTCTGAATAAAATCCGACAGTTATCGATCATCAATATGATGTTACTTATCTAGTGAGTAACATTTTTTGGCCTATGAAATAAATCTTCAGAATGGATAGTAGCGAACTCAGATTATTGTTCTTATGGGTTCCAAGTGGTACATAGGCCACCAACAGCACAACTTCATTGCATTTTATTTTCTGTAGTCTCTTTTAGTTGACTTTACGACTGAACATAAGCTCTCTTCTATTCCTAACATGATTTTCTTCATGTCACACTAGGACTCGCACCCAAGCCTTCGTTTCTCATTCGGATTCTACTTTAGGATCTGCCTAGCATGTGATGTCATTCAACGGTCCCGTCAGTGTATGCTTAATCCATCTCCGTTTCTTCATGCATATTAATTGGGTGATAAGTTCATGAGTGCTTAATCATAAATGATTCTTGTTGCTTCGTAGAGAAAATCAAAGATATTAATATCAAGGACAAAACCATGATATCTCTGGACATAACATCTTTAATAACAAATGTACCTCTAGTAGAAACAGTTGACTATATATGTGAGCAAGTGGACAACCAGTCGATAAACATTACCATCCGTACTGAAACCCTAAAAGAATTTTTATTAGGGTGTACCATGGATGTAATTTTGAAATTTGACGGCACTATTTATAGTCAAGTGGACGGGGTGACGATGGGCTCCCCACTGAGTCCCATTTTGGCTGATTTCTAAGTAAGCTAGAAAATGGACCTTTGAACAACCTTATCAGAAATTTCTAATTTTATTACCGGTATATGGATGACACCTTCATTCTTTGTGATAATGATTCGGATAGGAGTACAATAATTACTGGATTCCATGAAGTGCATTCGGCTATGAAATTCACGTGCGGAGAGGAATCCCATAACAGAATTGCCTTCCTACTTACAAAAAAACCAGATGGTAGCATAAAAAGAAATTTTCATAGAAAAAGTACTTGGACAGGACAATATACACATTTTCACAGCTTCGTTCCTCTCAAGTACAAAAGCAATTTAGTAAAGACCTTCAGCCACAGAGTTAGTTAGTGCGCTCAGAAGAAGTAATTGAAGATGAATTAAGCATTGGATATGATACTTTGATCGAAAATAGCTATCCCGAAAAATTTATCAAGAAACACATGACAAAGAAAGCGGAAAAGGACTACTATCCGTAAATAAGAAGCCTCTTTATATACGACTGCAATTCAAACGCGATATACTAGGGGATATAATTACGAAGAAATTAAGAAAATCAGTTCAAAGAACTTTTAATGCTGGCAAGCTATTCGTCTTATTCTCTACACGACCGATGGTGATTCCTCCATTGAAATATGAAGTACACAGACCAGCTACCTCTTCTTTTGTCTATCAATTCAACTGCGCTTGTGGAGCCAGTCATATCGGCAGTTGCTGTAGGAACTTGAGTTTTTCGTGCTCGAGAACATCTCCCACTGTGGCTAAATAAAGGTATAGTTAAAACCATTAACATTTCAATACTGGACCATCTAGTGCGAACCAGCCACAAAGCCAGCGTGAAAGAATCCTTCTCTATCATCTACCGGGTACCAAATAAATTGCTCAAAACATCGAAACACTGCGTGTTGCAAACAGGAGAGGCTATTGCGATTCGCCTCAAACAACCAGTGGTCTGTGTGCGAAAGAAGCAAGTCCAGCCTCTATTACTGCCTTGGACTTCAGTAGAGACTATAAATTCATGAATTTGTATTATTATCTTTCCTAATTTTTCTGATATTCAGTGTATTATTATGTTGATGCTGTTGATCTGTTATGTATCAATATTATTGATTCGATGTTACTTAAACATTAGTGTTGTTCATAACACTAATTCATTCATTCATTCACTATAATGTACATAGAACTGTACGGCCTGATGATGAAGTTATCGGAAAGAGTATTCTTTATTCAATATTCATTCTTTTGAAAATTTTAATGGGCATTTTTAATCAGTTAAAAATGTATCAGTCAAATTTTTCACAGAGAGGATATTTGGTCTACTTACTTCATTATCAAAATCTTGTTTCTCTTTTTCACTTTGTTTTAGTAGTTCTTTAATAGCTTCTTTATGACTTGATGTCAGCTCTCGAATATCTTTATCAGCTGTTTGTCGACATTCTACTAATTGATTTCTTAATCTAGATATTTCTGCATCAGCAGCATCTTTTGCCAGTTTCATAGCTGCTTGTAATTCATCTTCACGTTTTTGTAAAACTTGAGCAGCTTGTTCACGAGCTTGAAGTCCACGATCAATTTCTTGTTGAAGATCTTCTTGAATACGTTTTATTTCAACTTGTAGGATATGAAAAGCGTGAATATAATCAGTATATGAAAATTATTCATGCAGACTAAACATCCCCCTTAATACTGATTTGTTTTTATCTACAAATTACCTTTCACTATTTGCTCCAAAGTCTGCAACCCTGAGAATCATACATTTTGCAAAATGTGAAGTAGTGGACTCCACTAATTTCAGTGTTAAGCTAATAAATCTTTGGCGAATTACTACGAAATAAATATTTTTACTGTCAAGAGCATTCTAAGCTATTATATGCTACAAAAAACCCAAAAATATTGCTTACACACTAACTATTATTATTCCCTTGGGTTCTGAGTGGAACATAGGGCTTCAACAACACATCTACACTTTATTTTATCCTCTGCTGTCCTCTTCAGCTGGTTAGCCACACGATTACCCATCATCTCTTATCTCCTCCTTGCTACTCTATCTCCTCCATGTCACCCTCACACTGGTGACCTGCTCGATGTTTCCCATTCAGATTGTCTGGTGTGAGACGTCATTCGACGGCTTCCTCAACGCATGTCCAATCCATTTCCATTTTCTCCTACATATTTGTTGAGCAAACGGCTCTTGCTTGTTCGTTTGTTTCCAGTCAGGAGTTCTTCGTGCTAATTCTGTCTGGCCGGTTGGCCATTCGCTTTTCATCATTCAGCCAGCGAATGTGGCAGCTGTTGGTAAAATTCTACAAGCTGTTGGAAATGCTTTTCATCAAACGCAGAGTTTCATACTTGTCTTGGAAATCCGAATCTTCTTCTTTATGCTGAGGTGAAGTGTAGAAGATTTCCAAACTGGTTTTAGGTTGATGAAGGCGTATCTTGCCTTTCCTATTCTGACTTTGACATCTTCATCCATTCCGGCTACCTGTGGTTGAAACGATGCTGGCTTCCTAGATAAGTAAAGGAGGTAACGTCTGTTATATCTATTCCGTTGATGGTGCCTGGCGCTGGTTGTTGTTGTCATCGTCGCTGCTGGTTGGTTATCTGCGTCACCTTCGTCTACTCTATGTTCACCTGGAGTCCTGTCTTTGCTGCATGTCTCTTCAGCCAGTTTGTGCTTAAACAGTGAAGAAAGTAAGTCAATTAATGTAGCTGTGTTGTCTGAGCTGGATATTTTAATTGTAAATCTTTCACTGTCTTTCTAGCTAACATCTCTTCAGATAACCTTGGAGGTGACTGGTGGTTTCTAGATATTTTCTCACTACATAGGTCGCTTGTATTCGCATTGATTATTTTGTTAACTCGACAGCCGACATTTTGATTGATGAATCTTATACAGGTCAATATGTCAATTGAAATCTGATTCGCCTGAGATTTAGGCTTCTTGAAATTCCCTGGTATTTTTGGTGTTTTTTTTGTCTAGTATGTGTAAATTTTCCCAATAAAATTGATGTCCGTGCATGCATTGAATCAGGGAATGGATATCATACCTTTTGGCAGCCAGTTTATTTTTGTAAATGTTTCCATTTTTAAAAGTTGTTACAATTTTTCTTGTAGATGAGGTTGATTTTGTCTTCTTTCCGTTGTTGCCTCTTTTGACTGACATAGAAGGGATCGAATTAATTTTGTCTGTTCGCGTGCGACATCTATCCCAAAAGTTTCCATATAGTCACGTAGGATATTTATCTTTTGTTGAAATTGAATGGATATCCCTTTTTCTAGAAGATAGTCATATGATATTTGTCTTCTGTTCTCATCAAGGTAGAAATGCTGTAGTGTGTCCTGTCTCTCCTGAAGAATGCTTGTATACAATTCTTTTTGTGTATTGTTTGATTATTGCTGGTTTAACAGAGTATTTGACCGATATCAGCTGATTTTCTGTATCCGCTGAGCTTCTAATTTTCACGTGCTTGTTCGTCCGACTAAGATGTCTAAAAATGGAATTTCGTTTTCGTGTTTTTCATATGATTTCTCTGAATTGTCATCAGTGTATTACAAACTTAAACAGCTATATATTCTTTCATTTAGCAGTAACTGAAGGTAAGATAAAAGTCTTTTAAAAGGCAAGATTCAAACCACCAGCCACCAGATAACCGGGCTGTCAATGGACTAAGTTACTATACCCAGCTGTCAGTCAATTCATTTTCTGCCTGAAATCACCACGGGTTATGCCTATTTATTAGTTTTTACTGAATAATTTTTTTAAATTTTTGATGACAGCTTGATTCCACACTGTATTTTTGGTACAAGTATGGAATTTTCAGCATAGATATCGGTAGCCCAAATTTTGCAGGCCGACCATAGATATCAGGTGTGCGTCGGCAGGGGATCGAACTTCGGATCATGTGCATGGTTGGCGAGAGTTCTAACCACTGTGCCACCGATGCACAGTAGATCAATAAAAACTGGTGGTACATCTGTGGTACAGTGGTGAGAGTGTTCTCCAACCACCCATGTGGTTCGAGGTTTGATCGCCGGCCAACGCAGGCCTCTACCTCGCTAACTCAGTAATAACACTAGCAAAGAGGGAGGGTTAGGCATGAGGCTAGCAACCCCATCCTGTGAAAATAAACACCACTTCTAATGAAACTTCAAGCCTCTAGCTTGAAGCCCTATTTTCCACTGAGAACGTAAAGGAATAAAAATAGAAGAAAAAATAATAAAAACAAAAACTGGTATTTTATAAAGATTTTATTGCTATTCGAATATCGAATTTTTGTAACTGCTAGCTGCTCCTAGTTAGTAGTTTCACCTTTGAAGAAAAACCTCCTTAAAAATGATTGCTGAAACTTTCTATTTCAAAAGGAATCCTTCCATTTTGGTTTCGCGCTTTTTAGCATTCCTCACCGTAGCTCAGGCGTACCTGAAATCTCGAAGGAACTTGTGTTCCTTCTGAGATTCGAACGCATGTCACTAATACTGCTGCAGTTGAAGACTGATAAAATTCAGTCTGCTTGAAGCAAAGGACTAGTTTGCATGACATTAGTTACTTACTGCCTAGTGTCCAATCAAATTCTCAATTATCTAACTGGTATATAAGAGTATTATTGCATGAAGTATTTATGAACGAACATATACACATATTGTGGTGAGAGCTGGCTGTTTGTCAAAATTGGTGGACAGTAATTTACGTCAATGTTTATGTCCCAATATTGGTCGTGAGAAAAATGAGAACAAAGGCTTTGCGTGGGTGGATGCAGTTAACACATAGATGATCTGATAATCAAGAAACAGTCACAAAAGAGGTGCAAGGTTAACTTTCAGTGAGAAACAACCGATCAGAAGACTGTGTTTTTCTGCTAACAATAATCTGTAATAATGTACATGAAAATCTATAAATATGTGTTGATTTCCTTAATAAACGATCTGTTGCCTGGCCCTTGTCTTCTGTCGTTACAATATTATTGTAGACTGTTACAAAATGTAACTTACCCATAAGATTTTCTCTTTTTAAATTCTGTTCTTGTAATTCATTGTCTAGTAAATCTCTTTTAGTTTCTAATTGCATAATTTGTTGTTTTGCTTGATAGTAATCAGCTTCTAAATTTTCATGTTCTTTTTTAGTTACATTCAAAATATCACATGTTTGTCGTAAATCTCGACTAAGTGAACTAACTTGGGCTGATAGTTCACCTTTTTCTTTAGTTAAATCTTCTTTTTCTCTATTTAAACGTGCAATAACATCACGAAGACGTTCAGCATCTCTATTCTTTTGAATTAATTCATTGGTAAGACCATTTTTATGTCTTGTAATAGCATTCAACTAAAAAGAATAATAATAATAATATATTCATTTAACAGGGTACTAGTCTTTATATTTATCTCTAGATAATGTCATCTGTTGAATACACCTGTTACATCATCTTGGTTTCCATTTTTGTTAATCATGTTCAAATATCTCATATCCCCTTAAGGTCAGTCATAACAACTTAAATATGAGAAATGCATATTGTTTATAATGTATAATTCTCTAGGTTGATTAACATATCAACGATTTTATTTTTGATTGGAAGCTAGTCAGTAACTAGTTTTTAATGTATCTAGTCCTATCTTCAGTGCAGACTGAATTCTACCAGTCAAGCTTGCAATGTGGTCACCATGTTAGGTGGCTCGCCATCACGGTGCACTGTGAATTGTTGGTATTATATGGTTGAAGGCAATCGGCAGGAAGCCTTGCTCGAGCTAGGTTTCGTACTGGTTGGCATTCATCAGTGATATGTATCCATTTATATATGTATATATATGTGTGTGTGTATGTTGATCTCTCTTTCTGGTTGCTCGCTTAGTCTGTGACCATTTCACTTGTATGAACCTGTCTCCTTTAACAATGTATATTCCCCTTATATTATATATAATATGAGTGTTTGTTGACAGTCCGTAGCTTGGTGACATATATCCATATATGGTGGTTGTTGACATGTCTGCTATATTTTGCTACGTATATGTGGATCGATACTTCATTATAATTAGCCATTCATGTTAAGACTGTCCAATGATTTGTTCACACACTTTGTCTGGAACATTTCATATATATTTCGCTCTCACAATTTGTGTGACTTACTCACTTACTTACTTACTTTGGTGTGATACCACTTTTGCATTCTCCTTGTGTTTGGAAAATAGAAGTATCATCGCAAACCTAGTGGTCTTCTGATTTCCGCCTTCTTGCGTCAGGACTATTAAATTCTCGACCAGTACATAATAATAATTTGGCGACGAGTACATAACAATTTGGCGACGGGGAAAACTACTATTAACCACTCAGCAGCAGCAACATAACAATCAGTCAGCGTATCTGCTACCTTGAAGGAACTCTTGTCTCACCACTCTGAGATTCGAACCCACGTCAACCAGTGAGAACCACAGTCAGAGACATTACCACTGAGCTATTCAACGATTTTAAAGTGACAGGTAATTGAAGTGTTTTTTTAAAGTATATTTCACAGATCGAAATTCGATGTCAGGCTAGGTTTTCATTTTACCTAGAAATGAAATCTAAACCATTCAAACCCTTGTAAGCTAACGCTTGTATATTAAAATCAGTTTTCGAAACTAAGATTACCTGAGATATCTTCATTACCTGGAAAAAAAGTCATTTTCTATGAACTTGTGAATATATTTACCAACTACATATTTGCACAGAGAGCTACTCTTGCTTAAAAACATTCAGTGTAATGCGAATGTTGCATAATTGTTGGGTTAATACAATGAGTCATGAGCATGCATTGAAATGGCTCGTAGAATCTTATTTCAGATCATTTGCTGAATACTTTGGTTTGTTTTATACACGACAAAGATTTCCGTTATTCTAAAGCAAGTAATGTGAAGAGGTGTCTTTCACCTCCCATAAGTCTTATGGGCATTCGAAGTGATACAATGTGTATTCAATGGTCATGGACGACACTGTTATTCATTAATATGAAGGTATGATCAGCCGCCCAGTCTTCAGTAGCTATTAATAGATAAATAACGCCGTTATACTACCCATTTCTTCGCAAGTAGTCTAAATTCCGTAGACGTCTATCACTTTGCCTTTAGCTAAAAAGTGTTTTAAAAATCTTCCCAATGTAAATGTTCCTATTAAAATATATGTTACATTACAATAATAATGAGATAAATTGACTGAACGTATTTATATTCAAAGTTACCGGGAGAATAAAGTATTATTTATAAATCCCCTAGATTCTTTGGTGGAATATAGGTCTTCAAAGTCACATCTCCATTTCATCCTGTTTTCTGCAGTCAGCTTTAGCTGGCTCCGCGATAGACCATAAGCACTCATTTCCTACACACGGGATCTCCTCTATGTTACCCTTAGAGCTATGTTCAACTTGACGGTTCACACTCAGGTTCCATTCGATAACTTGGCATGTGATGTCATTAGATGGTCACCTCAGTCTGTGCTCGATTTGTCTCTATTTTCTTTGGGATATTTGTTGAGCAGTTTGTTCTTGACTGGTTCTTTCCTGGAAAATTGTTATTCCTAATTCTTTCTGGCCATTTGATCTTCAGTATGGAACGAAGGCAGCTTTTGATAAAAGTCTGAACCCTGTCGGAAATGCCTTTTCTGGTGTGCAAAGTTTCTGACCCACCTAGAACTGGTTTAACGGTGGTACTGCAAAACCGAGGTTTCTTCCTAATGCTGAGTGCAGCAGATTCCCAAAGTGACCAGATTGATGAAGGTCTGTCTTTCCTTTTCGATTCCACTCTTGATGTCGTTATCTGTGCCGCCTGTAGCTGAAGTGAGTCTGCCTAGATAAATGAAAGAATTAACCTCTTTCAAATGGATTCCGTTGACAATAGTTATTGTTGCTGTTTTCTTTGATTACCTCTGCCATCATCTTTGCCTTTTCTATGCCACCTTCGAACCCTATGCCAAACTCGTCGTTTTGCATTTTGGCCCCACCCATTCTCACTCAAAAGTCTCCTTGGCTTACGTCTAGTCTGTCTAGCGCTATTACATTCTAAGTACTGATTAGGCGACGGACTCATGACTGTTTCGTTGTCTGCCAGAGTTTCGTTTTGTTTATCTTTTCTGGATGGCCATCTGATCTTCACTATTGAAAGGGGGATGACATCTATCTGTTAAAAGTGCCTACTGTGACACTTCAAGTATAAGAACAGCATGGGAACACCAACAAGACCTATCACACCATATGCTCTGACAGTATTTTCTTCACTTTCGTTACCAGATTTGCCAAGGATGGTGGAAGAGTACACAACTTAATGGTTCTGCGCAAGGTATGTAGCCAGTTGTATGTTATTTGAATGCAACCCTTCCGTGATAATGTTTAACCAGGTCTAGTTTACTAGACAGTTGTAGGCCTGAAGCCAGATGTGGGAGTAACGACTCTATGTCGGAAAATCAACCCAATCGCTAGAGAAAATTGTATATATATATATATATATATATATAAATTTCAAATTCTGATGTTTTCAGCTTACCTGTTCTGTGATTTCTAATTTTTCTCTATTTAAACTGCTTATTTCTTCTTCCAGCCTTTCACGTGCAGCTTCAGAAATAGTCAATGCCTGTGAAACATTATTTTTCTCACAAATAACTTCATTCTTCCTAGATTCCATTTGAACAAGAGCATCTTTCAAGCTTGAACGTTCAGCTTCAAGATTTCTGTAGTCCGATGCTAACTGATTGTATTCTGCTTCTTGATTGCGTAATTGACTTTGAAGAATTGATCTTTTATTGGAGACTTCTTCTAATTTACCCTAAAAATTTCAAATAATAGATGATATTCATAAAAGAATAATTTTTCGAGTCTTATCTAAGGATATTTCCATTGATTAAGTGGTTAGCAAAAAATCTGTTAAATTATCAGCGAGTGATTTGTGCGTTATCGCCAGAAGTCCAAAGAGATTATGTTGTGACAGAAGTGTACAAAACACAATAATACTTTTATGTTTTCAATAACCAAATATTTTTTTAAAAAAGGCTCATAATTGGAAGTAAGGAGTCTATATCTATGGAAAAGAATAATAAAAACTGACTGAATTAAGGCGACATTGAGGCCTGTGCTACTGATAAATATTTATGAGTAGCATAATTGTGGCAACTACAAAATTTTGAAAAGTAGAGGGATGGGTCAATTAGCAGAAAGGAGAAATAAAGGCAGCAGTGAAACAATATAGGATGCATGAAATTAAGACATTTACAAATTAAATTTTTTTCCATCATTAGAGGTCATTTTGAGAATTAATTCAATATGTTTTATTCCTGTGAGTTCTGAGTCGAACACAGGGCTTCAAGCTTTAACCATTGAATTTCCAGTATTAGTCGAGTTTAATTTCTATGGGGTGGGGTTGCTAGTCTTACACACAACCTTCCTTGTTTACTGGGCTTTCTACAGGCTAAGCAGGGTTTTTGGAGTGCGTCGACTGAGGAAGTAAACAATGCTGCCTCCTAATAATACTATATTTGACTGTAACAACGATTATATCCTTAAGATAATTGTGTAAAATGCTTCATCTTTAAATTTGATCTTTTGTTATGTATATTGCATTTACAATCTGAGCACGTATACTTAAAGACACTTGGAATTGCGAGACTATATACCATGCTGCTGTACTTTACAGTTTTATGAATTATTTATTTATTATTATTGTATCCTTTAGTTCCTAGAGGAACATAGGGCTTCAGCTGCGCACCTCCATTGCCTTCTGTTTTCTGACAACTTTTTCACCCCGCTCCAGGTCTGTCCACATGCTTTCATCTCCTCTTCGCATGACCTCCTCCAAGTCACCCTTGGACGACCAACTCGCCGCCTCCCTTTCGGGTTCCACTCGAGGGCTTGTCTAGTGATGTCACTTGATGGTTTCCTCAGCGTATGGCCAATCCATCTCCATTTCTTCATGCCTATTTGTTTCACAATCGGTTCCTGGTTGGTCCGCTTATTGCGAGAGATTCCTGTTTCTGATCTTTTCTGGCCAGCCATCTCATCTTGAGTAATGAGTGAAGACAGCCCTTAATGAAGGTCTGAAGCTTGTTTGAGATGCTCTTTATGACTCGCCAAGTCTCTGATCCGTATAGTAGCACTGACTTCACATTGGAGTTGAAAATCCGGATCTTATTTTTGATGCTGATTGCTGTTGACCTCCACACAGATTTGAGAGTAATGAAAGCTTGTCTTGCTTTTCCGATTCTGGCTTTGATGTCCTCGTCAGTTCCGCCTGTAGTTGAGACGATGCTTCCCAGGTAGGTGAAGGAGGTTGTTTCTTTCAGGTTCTTCCCATTTATGCTGGTTGATTGTGTCTGTTGTTGCTGTTGGCCAGGAATCTTCATCAATTCTGTTTTATCTATGTTCACGTGAAGTCCTATCTTTGATGCTTCTTCTGCCAACTTGTTACTTTTCACTTGCATATCTTCCAGTTTATGGGAAATCAGACATATATCATCGGCGAAATCCAGATCCTCCAAGTCTTTTGTGTCAGTCCATTTTATGCCTGTTCCCTCGTTGGTTGCCGTTGTCTGTCGCATTATCCAATCAATTGCAATCAGGAAGATCATTGGTGATAGTAGACAGCCTTGCCTCACTCCCGTCCTCACTTCGAAGGCTTCCGTAAGTTTCCCGTTGTGGATTACTTGGCATGCAGCATTGTCGTATAACTGTTGGATGAGGTGTATAATTGTCGATGGGACCCCGTAGTAGCGAAGTAGTTTCCAAATGACCTCTCGATCGACGCTGTCGAAGGCCTTTTCAAAGTCGATGAAGTTGAGATAGAGAGGTGACTGCCATTCCAAGCTTTGTTCAATGATGATCCGTAGAGTGGCGATTTGATCAATACATGATTTGTTTCTCCTGAATCCAGCCTGTTCCGGACGAAGTTTTTCATCTAGGGCTTGTTTGATTCTCTCCAGGATGATGCGACTTAGTATCTTGCTTGGAATGGACAGAAGCATAATTCCACGCCAGTTTTTACATTGACTTAAGTCTCCTTTCTTTGGAAGTTTGAATAAGTAACTGTTCTTCCAATCCTCGGGTACTTTGCCCTCTTTCCACACCTTCTCCAGTAGTGGTGTCATCAAGTCCGCTGTTGTCTCTGGGTCTATTTTCAAAGCCTCTGCTGGGATTCCATCTGGTCCCGGTGTTTTCCCAGTTTTAAGCATCTTGATTGCATTCAGGACTTCTGATTTCGTCGGGGGGTCAGTGTTCACTGGTAGTTCTGCTTCCGTTGTTGGTATTGCTGGACGTGTTGTAGGTGGCGGACGATTTAGAAGTCTTTTGAAGTGTTCAACCCAGTGCTTTCTCTGTTCCACCTCTTTGGTGATTGACTTTCCATTGTCGTCCTTTATTGGCTTAATCTGTGTCGAACGTTTGCCCGAAAGGTTCCTAGTTGTTTGGTAGAGTGTGGCGAGGTCTCCTTTGCCTGCAGCTTGTTCTGCTTCGTTTGCCATGGTTTCATAATATTTTCTTTTGTCTTCCCTGGCACTTTTCTTCACTCTTTTGTTCAGTGTATTGTAGCTTGCATTCAGCTCCTGTTTTTGTTGCTCGTCAGTGCACTGGATAATCTTTTGCTTCACTGTCCTTCTCTCTTCTATTAGTTTCCAAGTGTCCGTAGTGAGCCACTGTTTGTCCTGTCTCTTTTTTCTGCCTAGAATTTCTATGCAGGTTTGGCTCCACACCGTTTTCAAGTTGTTCCAGTGCTTTTCAACGCCGACCTTTTCGCTGGTGTTGATTTGTGTCTCGGCTTTGTCCTTTATGCTTGCAATGAAGATGTCCTTTGTAGCCTGGTCCTTCAGCTTTTGAGTGTTGAACTTGGCTTGTGGTCTATCTGCAGCTCCTGATTCCCTGAAAGCTTTTAATTTGATTTGGATTGTCCCTTGTACGAGATAGTGGTCTGAGCCAACGTCTGCTCCTCTTCTTGCTTTTGTGTCCAGTAGGCTGCGCCTCCACTTCCTTGAGATTGAGATGAAGTCGATTTGGTTTTTGGTTTGCCCGTCTGGTGACACCCATGTAGCCTTGTGGATATCTTTGTGCTTGTATACACTGCCACCAATCACCAGTTCGTTGAAGGCGCAGAAGTCGGCGAAGAGTTCTCCGTTTTCATTCATTTCTCCTAGAGCTTCTCTACCCATGATGAGTTCCCTTCCTGTATTGTCTGGTCCCAGTTTGGCGTTCATGTCTCCCATTAGTATTTTCATGTCGCCAGCTGGAGTATTGTCCATTGTTGCCTGTAGTTGCCTGTAGAATTCTTCTTTCTTCTCGAGGTCTGCGTTGTTTGTGGGTGCATAACATTGTATGATTGACACTTTCCTTCCTTTGGAGTTGAACCTGGCGGTCATTATCCTGGACGAAATCGCCTCCCATTGTATCAGGGCTTTCGTTGCCGTTGGTGACATCATGATAGCCACGCCCTCGGTGTGCGTGTGGTTATCTTCTGGGTGACTGATAGGATCCCACATATTTTGGTATTGACTGTTTAATCTTGCATATATGGTATGTTATCATTCTCACACATTTTGGTATTTACTGTTAATCTTGTATATATGGTATATTATCATTCTCACACATTTTGGTATTGACTGTTAATCTTGCATATATGGTATATTATCATTCCCACACATTTTTTTATTGACTGTCAATCTCGCACATACGGTATATTATCATCTCTCACGCACTTTGTTATTGGCTATTAAGATAAATTATTTCAAATGCTGTTAGCTGTCCATATTGTTGTAAAATGTATAAATACCATGGCTTTCTTTGTCGTTGTTGCACTTCAATACACAGTCACAGTCCAGCCTTTGTCTTTTGATATTTGCGTGCTTTACTAAATCGGAAGGTACGACAAGCAGATAGGCAGATTAGTTCAGGCGCAGACAGAATAAGGTGAAAACGTCTTCATTGAATTCCCTACAGTTATAACAAATTGGCGACGGGGTTTACCTTAATTCAGTGCAGTTATAACAGTGGCCGGAGTAGATCACTGACTCACCCGTTGACAATTTGGTGAGTCCACTCCCATTCCATCTGCTTTCATATATTCCCAGCACTTGGATTCCGTATCTTTTCATCTCGTTGGCGATCTGGGCAGCTTTTCCGATCTCGTACATAGTGCGGACGTTCCATGTCCCCACACAGACTTTGTCTTTTGGTGCAAAGAGGTTCATCATACTGAAGTTTCTGTAGCAATTTTTGTTTACAGGGTGGGGTTGCTAGCCTCACGCCTGAGAAAGGAATGGTTACATTAAGATAAAGTCTAGAGAGAAGCGACTTTTTGAGTTGCTCCCCTCAAAATCGGAAAATAACGGACAAAACAATGAGAACAAGACCAGAAAATGGAAAACAGTTCACAGCAAAAGGCGCAAAAAGCGACAACAACGATACAATACAACAACATGCAATATAGTTCAGTACAGTTAACTAAAATGATATCTCAACCATAGACTCACTGTCTTGGAGCAACTTGAACATATAAATCCACCAATATATACAATTATAGATGTGTTTATGTTTAAAAAATTTCACAAATCCATATAGTTAGTTATATGTATTATCTGTTAGTAAGATTTTATCCTTGGATTTAGTGTTCGAAAGGCAAATAATTATGATAGTTTCCACAAACTCTTGGCATGAAATTTTACAGAAACGAGAGTTTTTATAAATAAGGGAAATGTAGCGCAGTCAGTTTTATGAATGAGACTAATGAATGCTACTCATAAACAACCACTTACAATTTCATGCAGTTGGGGAAGTGAGTCACATCTATTG